TAAACACGTCCGATATCTGGCTTCTCAATAGAAACCAGAGGGATCGGCAAACAGTCTTAGTGCACAGGCCCACTGTCCGTACCATAGGTACAGACCCACTGCCCGTACCCCAAGTCAGTGTAGAGATTCAACGAGCAAAATGAATTAATAATAACTAAGAAGCTAACGCCGTTATGTTTGGGCGTACGTAGGTTATTACGCAACAGCTAGTTTCTTTTTCACGTTTGTTCAAGTTGAATTGTTTTTGCCGGCTTGAACGACCTTCCTCCTTGAATGACCCAAACACCAGATGGTACGGCCAGGTACGGCCATGGTACACGGCGTACACGGCTAGGTCAATAAACTGTGTGACGCAACATCACTAGCTCGTTGGACCGACAGAGAGCACCGATACCGCGGCACGCTCTACCGCTCTCGCTTTCTCCTGTTCGCCCGCTCCGACCATCTTCGGCATCGTTCGGTACGCGTCGACACCGACGGAGAGCACCGATACCGCGGCTCGCTCTACTACTCTCGTTTATTTATGATATTCATATTCCCCAAATAAATATCATTTTTAATTAATTTGTTTAAGCGACATATAATCGACATAAATCTTAAGATGCTCGCAACGAACACACGCACACACACACCCACACACACAACACTTAAATTAATCGCAACAAAGAAACATACGTTCAAACGAAGGGGATTATCGGAATTGAGTTACCACTCATCGTGTCGTTCACGCACCGAATACCAAGCTATTATTAAGTGTAAACTAAAGTAGATATATATGAACATATTTTGTTATAAGTTTACTCAATAAGCATGTGTAATGTAATTAAAAATTTATCTCATCTTGTATTCCAGAACTGAATCTCAACAGAGATTTTAAATGAAAATAAAAAATCAAATAAAAATATATACACTAGACTCCCGAAAAGCGATTAACAGTTACATCACGAATATCTTTCAATCCAAATATACCTATTCATCTACGCCAGGCAAAAGCAAAATGCGACCGATGTCTAAATTCTCCGGAGAATCCAGAGGGATCGGTAAACGGCCTTAGTATACGGATCAATCCTTTATACTAAGTCTGTGTATAGAATTCACGAGGAAAGTGAAATAATAATAGCTCGGTATATTTACAATACTTCATCAAGCGTAATGCCGATTGCCACGATTTATTGCCAGAAGGCTACTATGAGTACAGATCGACCCCCCACCCCCTTTCTCACACATACTACCAGTCGGTCAACCCATATGCAACAAAATGAGTTATTTTTTAAGTTCGCACGGGCCTCTTGATGATTGTCACGTGAAGAAAAATATCCATGTGATCTTCTCATGTTCTTCAAGCGGAGACAAATGTTCAGATGATCTTCACACGAAGAGATATCTTCAGATGTTGACTTAAGTTTAAATTAGCGAACCGTAACTACATAGATGATACCTTGATTCGTGAAACGGACACTCAAAAGAATATGTTTACATATAGTAAGTATAAAAGGGTATAATAACAAATTTTTATAGATATTTGATTTTGATAAATTAGAAAATCCCACGACGATTCCTGAAACTAAACAAAGTACCACTGCTAATGTGGGTACTTATCATTCGCAACATTAATTATTAATGTTAAGAAATTTTCTGGAGAATGTTAAAAAACGCGACAGGTGCTTCCCGTTCACTACACTAATTTACCAAATACCTAATGAAAAAACTCACGCGCACACGGGATAATTATCCTCAAAATCCTGACTAAAAAAATTATTAGTTGCTGTTCTTTTAACAGGTCAATGTTCTTTGATTCTGTCTCATTTATTTGCAATAAAAATGACTCAACTTTGTATTAAGAAAAATTGAAAAACAAATATTGGGTACTAATTAATTTAATAGAATGCAGTCATTAAGAAAAATTATAAAATATGAAATTAGATCAAACTATTCAATGATATTCTCATTGGATACCATTTTTTATTATCATTGTGTGATTATATTGGTTTGTGTAAGGAGGACGTCACAGGTTGTCACATTCCTCCACTAATGTTTCATTCACCATATATGTATTCAATATATTGCCTATAGAGGTTCATATACACAATGGACTCAAGAATAGACATTGAATATTAAGAGCATTAATACTGCTTTGTCCAATTATAAAATGTTTATTAATTGTATGGGTAGGAGAAAATGCTATATATAAGAAAATCCTACCCTAGCTAAGAAATGCAATTGATTAATGTTACTATTCGAAGGTATGATAGCATACCCACATTCACTGTACTCTCCAAATTTAGCATATATACAATTAGCTGCCTGTGCCACTTTGTACTAATTGTCCTATGGCATGATTGGGGACTGGAGTAATAAAAAAGGCATACAAAGACTCACCCGATGATAGAAGGGTTTACAGTCTTTGCTGGTGGAACTTCACGTTAGGACATCCAATTTAGTGTTCAGTGATGCAACATTTAAAGAAACTGAAAAAAAAAACAAGACAAATTTATTACACTCAATATTATTATTACTGATAAATATAACACGACAATTATTCAGTTTATAATATTTATGAATTACATTGTAGCATAATACATAACTATGCTGCAGTCATGTTTGTTTTTTTATTTACTCCATGACCAGCTTTTCTACATATTCAGAAAATCATTACAAGTATCAAAGTTGCATTGTTTACGCATACTTTGATAAAAAGCATGATAAACTATGCAGCTGGTATTAATCAAATTTACACCCAAAACTGTATATAAATGCAAATACAATAATGTCATATGGTAAGACAGAAGAAGTTATCTATAATCTATTTTAATACAATTTCACGATCGAGATATGTAAATCACAAACATTTCCAATTTGAATGTCTCAAAGTATTGTAGTTCAAATTTTGTAACTTTCAGGGAAGCCATTTTGAATGCTTCAACTACATAACTATATTTATTGAACAAAATTGCTCCAAAAAATTCTCTTTTAATCTTAGCACAAACCATGAAATCACGATTATTTCACTTACGGTTAAAAACAATATAAAAATACGTAATGAAGTGTCACTTTGTTGTCATAATAAATATTACAATAACTTACCAGAATTCACCAATTTCCCGCCGAATTCCGTTTGAAGGTAGTCAGAGATGCTCAGGACGGTAGTACGTACTTTCTAACCGAAACTCTGAAACAGAAAACAAACATAAACCTTAAGTAATTACACTACGTTGACAATAGTTACGTTACAAATTAACAATTATTGAACTCATGGTGTGTCGCGAAGATTACAAATTGGATCAGAAATACGTAAATATTATATTAATTGGCAAACAGTGAAACCGAAGATTAAACCGATACCTAGGTATCGTATTAATTTGAGATTATTTAGTCTAAATAGGATAAATATTAAAGGACAGTAACGATAGAGAACTAATAAAGGTACTAGTAATTAATACATATGAATAAAAATGAAAGATAAATGTCAAACACTCACTTTGGTACAAGCAAACGGCTTGTACGTTTTATCCCGCCAACTTCTTCAAAACGAATGACACTTCGGTTAGATTCGGCCGATCCCGAGCAATTCATTCGGTTATCTTCGGGAAATCCCAAGTAGCTGATTGGTCAAAGCGGTATATCCTCCAGTAATACGACTTGGCGGGAACAAATATGTGCATCACTCCAGTTTAAACGGCGAATGTAACACTTAAAAAACATAACGCCGAAAATATATATGTATGTCGTCACTTATCCAAAGAGATACTAAATTGTTTCAGACTTTACTGCATGGGAAGCATGATTTGGGAAATTAACATATTTCTCGTTCTTGTAGACGAAGCCAATGTCAAGGTTAATAACAATCGAACGCCGATCGAAAAATTTAATACTTTCCAAATTATGTGATCGAAACTTATGCACAAAACGTAATTGAACTCATTTAAATAAAATAACAAATATTTAATATTTCTCGTAATTACTAAGACGGGATTATTGTTTAATCACTTGTGATAAAATACAAATTATTCACTTGTAGAACTTGATTACAATATCCACATCATACATGTTAAGCCGTTTCCCTACGCCATTTGTTTCCACTAGGGAAAAAGTAGTATTGGGAAAGGGCCTCCTACCACTTGGTATTGAAAATTATTACAATTTATGCCAAATTAACATTCGATTTAACATTTATTTCAGTACTTGAAATAAATTTACTAAGTGGTAAAAGACTTTCCTTCTACGTCACTTTTTCCCCTAGTGGAAGCCGAGTTTGCTCGCGGGTGTACATACATACTAGAGTCGGCTGTGGTGTAGCAATGGCTGCGTTCAGAAGACACAACCGTTGCGCAACTATTCAGTGATTTCACTAGATTTGCTACCGCTCACTCAATAGAGTGTAGCGTTCAGAATCAAATCTAGTGAAATTACTCAACGGTTGCACAACGGGTGTGTCTTCTGAACGCAGCCATTCCTTCTCCTCATCGCCCTCCAGGCACTTTCGCCCCTCTTTCTGCGATGTACAAGTGAGAGAGGAATGACTCCATCGCTACTTCTGTCCTTCGGTCTCGCTTCATCACTACCATAAGACCGCGCAGTGCAGCGCAATCTATTATATGTATATGTTTATGGGTATGAGGATGAATGATTCTCCTGATTACCACATTTATTGAAATTGATGTTTTTAAACAAAAATCTGCTCTCCATTAAATTATGAAGACGTGCAAAAGTTAGCATTACTTTAAAATACCTTAGGAGTAAATTATTCTTACCATTTGAAATTTGGAATGTTAAATTTGAATTTATCTTTTACAAGTTTCGACCTTGAAATGTATACTTATTACTTATATACTAATTTGACGCGGTTACCAGTGATTTCATTCAAAAGTATGGCTAGTTATGTGTGGCAGTGAAAGTATGAATTGTTTATTATATTTAAAAACGAATACAATATTGTAGAAAAATGTTCCTGTAATGATACAATAAATTACTTGTACATTATATTAATTCACAGTTTCAAAATGCTTACTCTACAATTTGGGCAATGTGGAAACCAACTAGGCCATGCATTATTCTCAAAGATATCAGCTGACTTGGAATGTGCAAATACAGGTGTACCTCATAATATAAACTATCAGTATTCAGAAGATACATTTAATAAATGGTTTAATGGTATATCTAAAGAAGGCAAACATTTAGCAAGGGCAATTCTTGTAGATACAGAACAAAAAGTAATAAAAAAGATGTGGAATAATACAACTATTCCATGGATGTATTGGACCAAAAATGTAATTTGTCAATCTGGAGGAGGTTGTGCAAATAATTGGGCATATGGTTACATGATAAAAGGACATGAGTTAAAAGATGAAATATTAAATTCTGTAAGACAAGAAATAGAAAGAATGGATCATTTTGATGGGTTTCTTTTACTCTTAAGTTCATCAGGTGGTACAGGATCTGGAATTGGAAGTTATATTGCAAAATTATTACGCGAAGAATATAAATCAAAACCTATCATTACCACAACAATATTACCATTTTCATTTGGTGAAGTATCCACACAGAACTATAACACATTGTTCACGTTGGCAAAACTTTACAATCAAAGTGATATGAATATTATAATTGAGAATGACCAAATACATGATATATGTAAAACTCTGTTAAAAAAGTTTACAACAAGTTTACAAGATATGAATGAAATTATTTCAGAGAAGTTATTAGCTATCTTACAACCCATAAATTCTATAAAACATAGTATAAATTCATTAGTGTCTCAAATAGCATCACATCCTTGTTATAAATTGGCAACAATCAAGAGTACTCCACATATATCTACAATGTCTTTAAAATATGAACCTATATATAATTGGAGTTCATACACACATCATCTGAAACAGACTCTTCGAATATCAAATTCCGATTCAAAATTAACTAATGTTGAATTGAAACTACCATCCAATCTATTAAGTACAACCACCCACCATGTATACACATGTTCAGTATCAAATCTCCTAGTAACACGTGGTACCACAACAGATAATAATCTTGTTGTACCTAATGAATTTAAAGATAAACATTTATATACAGACTGGAACACAACTGATTGTTTCTCACATTTACACCAAGAACGAAAATTCTTAAATTATGACAAATTTCTTGGCCTGATTACCAATAACTCCCAAATTTCCTATCCTTTGGACATACTCTTAAACAAAACTTGGAATTCTTATATTCATGCTGCATTTTTACATCAGTATAAACGATTTGGTTTAGAAGAGGATGATTTTCTACAAGCATTTTCAGTAATTGAAAATGTTGTGAAAGAATACAAAGAACTAACATAAGGAAATAACAAAAGTATAATGATTTTTATTTTGTATGTTGTGTAAGGACTGAATAATTTTTTTTATTATGAATTGATTTAAATGTTTAGTAAAACGTGTAGTAGTGATAAATAATTTGACTGATTTGTACAGAACACCTAAGGAATATAAGAGGGTGTATATGACGTCATTAGAAAATCGATCACTTGCACCGTTCGTATATATATATATATGTCAGACAATGCAGCGACGGAAGGCGCATGTAAGAAATAAAAGGAGACCAAATAATAATATGAAGAAAGATAACAGAGAAAAGAAGATAATGGAATGAGGACGGTTTTCAGTCCAACTTGGGGAGAGCGAAATAGAACACGCTGCTGCACTGCTACTGCTAAACACAGTACACACCCCTTCTACTGTACGATGTATGTATACATATAAGCATGTAGCATGCTGCGCGTGTGCAAAGGGACGACCGAATCCATCGAACACATACATACACAGTGTAGAACGAAAAAGTCCTGACCGTTTCTACGAAATAACGAAAATGGTTCTAGGAATTGATGGTCATCTCTACTCCCCCCCTGTACTCATTTGGAACGAATAGATTTCTTAGGACTCCTTTCACATTATTATCATTATTATTTATTTCTTTACGGGTCGAATCCATATTAGTATAATTAGAAGTAAAAATAATGTACGGTATATGGATAAGTAAACATATAAACAATTTTTAAATATTAAAGTTAAACCAGAGTTTACATTATATAGAAGCGCCATGTACAAAATATACGTTCGTAATCAGTTATTGCGAAACATTAAAAGTGAAAGCAACTTCTAAGGCCTAATAAAATTTTGAAGTTTCTAATGAAACGCCTTGCTATAACTGCACGAGACGATTCAAGGTCAAAGTTTTAGACGCGTTATGTAAAGGTTGGGAAAAAGGGAAAGAACCGACGGTGTGGAGAGTGCTACATAAACAACGACAGATGCACTATCCACGCCGTTCTCTAGCATCGGTCAAGCGTTACAGGTACAGGCACGATTGTGAAGAACTCGTTTGCTGCCCCTTCATCGCCCCCACTGCATGTGCTACTATTGAACTCCTTCAAGATTAAGCATACCCCACTACTGATCTTATGCAATCTTATGAATCTAATGGTAATGTGTGTAATCAAAATAAAGGAAAAAACATGTCCGTGTATCAGTTAATTATGTATATTTCAAAGTGGCAGAGTTCACATACAATTCATAAGATATCCACCTTTCCTCTTTAATAAAACGAAAACATAGTAGATAGTAGCCTTCGCTTTATGTAGCGATTTTACCATAGACAGGGTTGAAGGAAGGATGTATGTATGTAGCATGCAAATAGTGGCGCCATCTAATATATACAGGGACACACAACTGCGATGAAAAAAATTAATAGTTGCCTTATTCGACGTGAGCGTATGCATATGTACTTCGTCGTACTCGTATAATTCAATTATATTAAACAATTACACTGATTTAGGCTACGTTAATAAAGATACTTAAAAAATATCAGAATAAAAATATTTTGAATCCTAAAGTACATAGATCCTTCTTCACAAGCAGGTCTTATTATTATGTAGTACCGCGGTACACAGATATCAAAATCTTTTGTTCACAGGAAAATTATAAATTTTAATTAGCATTTGCAATGTTGATGCTCTCTTTCGTGTTTAAATAGTCTTTGACATTGAGTTGATACAGACAAATTATCGAGCTCAACTACAGTTGAGACATTTTGTACTACTCCGAGAAGAGCCTAAGACCCCTAAGACCCATCACCCTCGATATTTCTGTGAATTCTTTTGTCTAGTGCATAAACAATAAGTATTTTTGTTCCTGGCCGATTGTGAGATCACTTTATATCTCATCCACCAAGAGTATATCTTCTGAAAACAGGCGTCCCTGTAAAAAGCTGTGTATAGTATGTATATACACATACAGTAGAATGTACAGTAGTATAGGGTATGCGCGACTCGAATACGAAGAGGCGTGGTTTGAATAGAGACGGACCTGTTCCATACTTTGTCCCCCTCCGCTGTATAGTACGTGTTGAAGCTGTGTCTCTTAGCACACATGCACCAAAAGAAGGGCGCACTCTGGTGTCGACGCCGCGGACGATGGTACGCGCCATTTTGTTTAGTGTCCGCTGGACGCGTCGTGCGTCGGGGTGTTGCGGGGTTGCTTTCATGACTGTCAACAGGAAGATATTCGCGGCTCTTTGAGCTCGCCTACTGCCCGTACGGTTATACATAGAAGTGTCACGTTCGAGACACAGTGCAATACGTGCATAATCGTCTGCATGATAATTGTGACGTGCGAGACAAGGATAATTTCTTTGAAAGAGTCGAGGACTCTCGTATATCTTAGTGTCAGATTCAGCGGTTCCGAAGGCCTCACGAATGCATGGCGTCAGTTCCAGCTTTATGGATACTTCGTAGGAAATCGCTGGTGCTCCCGCCGTCGCTCGGGGCTGAAATTTTTTCTACAGGTAAGAAGAGGGGTAGTAGCGTTGTGAGCTTAATCGATAAAACGTCTCCCTTTCGCTTCCTATTCCCCATTTCCAAACAGAGGAGAATTTCGCTCGGACCGTTCTGTATCTTTTTCCAAATTGTATTCGACGCTTCATGCTCCGGCGAGTTTTTCGTACCAAATGTCACGAGCCCTGACCACGGTAGTGTCTCGCTTGTGCAAGTCGCTTGAGGAAAGTGAAAGCTCGTTCGCGATCGTTCTGCATTGAGTACAGATCTCGCCGAGTCCATCGCCGCGGCACACGTTTTATACTATTCTCTTGCAGTGTTACACAGAGATTGAAGCGTCACTCGAGCCGAACTGTCGGCACTTTGAACCCTACTCGGTTTACCTCTTCCACATATGCGTCGGTTGCTTTTCCGTACAAACGGGAAACCAAGAATATTCTCGGAAGAATATATTTACTGGAGAAATTAATGTCTCAATTGTTTCGTTACGCTTGAGATAGAACTTATAAACCGAGTATTAACATTGTCGAATTTCAGTTCTAAATACATATTATCATAATATTGATCATCGATAAAATAATCGATACCAGTAAAATATTCAAATCAAGCACTGGTACGTAAAGAAATTTAAGAGTAGGGATTATGTAATAACATTAAATGTTTTCACATTTGTTTATACTTATGTAGAAAACTTAGTAATTGATACAAATATAAAATTGTTACGTCTCTTTCGCCATGTTGCAAGTTTTTGAACATGTAGATTTAGATTATAGTGAGTTATAATTCACTTGTTATATTCGAATACGTAGTAGTGTTCAATATAGTAAAATTAATTTCTTTCGTACATCATTATGTATATTATTATTATCATGTTTAGGACCTGCACATTAGTGTGTGTACCGATCACTTTGATACTGTAGACAGCATTGCAATCACTGAATTTATCGGGTGATTTCAATGCTAGGTTGTACACTTAAACTGAGAACATTATGTTGATTCCGCGAAATCTTTAACAATAGATGTGAGTTTATTTTTTCGAGGATGCATGAAATTGCATAATTAAAATTACATAAATAAAAACATGTACGGGAAGGATAATAACAATTCTTAAAATATTAAACAATCTGGTCCACTTATGAGAAATAATGTAACATTCACTAAAGCATAAAAATGATGACTGTCACTGCCTCTAACCGCTGTTCAATTTCCTTATTCTGTATTTCGTGTATAAACTAAAATATTTGTTTTATTATTAACATGTATGTACATAAACAAAGGTATTTAACCTTTTAATTGTTTTCTTATTCATTTCTGAAAACACTTTTTATTTTCATCAAGTATATTTTACTAAACACTTTTAGTTTTATCAAATACAGTACTTGGCAGAAATAGTGTCTTACATTTTCCTTAGTAACATATAATAACAATTAATTTTTTAACCCTCATAACGTTCTATTACAAAAAATATTAGAATCGTGTGTCGTGTTGTCTCGTTGTTCGTTCATTTAGTTATGTAGATCACAATTTTGTGCATCCAAATTGCACTACAAATCAATATTTTCATCCTTCTTGCATTTCTCCCCAAAGGGTTGCATCCATTTAACTAAAACGGGGGTGTCTTCATACAAATGCGGTAATGTAAGTAATAGTATAAACGTTATCACATATTTTTTCATGTAAATAAAGGTTTTTCATTAGTTTTGTAATTTCCGTTCGCGGTATCGTTCTAATCTATATGTTGACCAAAACATTGGTACATACGCATATTTGAACTATTCCATAAAACTTTCTACTGGCTGTTCCAAATTCAACGGAGTCATGAAGACATCTATTGTATATTATCCGCTACAACATTTCAAGGGCTGAGGGTGATGTAACATATTCTGTTAGCTTTATTAAATTTGTCGCTTCGCGTTAGTCAGCGAGCCTTTAACACTTTTACCGCTGTTGCCTACGTATTGGCGATCTTTTTATCTAAAGCTCGAAAGTAATATGAATAGTGAGATCTCAAAAGGAAATAAATTTGGTTAAGGTCCTCGAAGTTCAGAGAGGATAAAAAAAGTTGTATTGCGTTTAAGGCGAGTTTTAATTGTTTGATGAAATATTAATACTAAGGTATGATTTACCTAGATTTTTTAAAGTTATTTTTTTTCGAACATTAGAAATTTGAGCGATGTAACATATTTAGTTTCGCTAGAATAGTATGGATAATGGTCAGTAAACCGACAAAATCGGCAGAGGCAGTGAACACCCTCTCATTACGACCTGTTCTTCCCTAGCTTTCCCCGCGGGAGTAAGTCCGCCCAAATAACAAAGGGTGCGACGTGTGCACTCTTTTGGAACATCGATTTGTTAACTTGGCTGAAATTTTAAGTACCTGCTTTACAGTATCGAGTGACACTTTCAAATAATGCACTGTGCGTTCAATATAGAGAATACAAAACAATTTATTATATAACCATATTTACTAAACTATATTAGTGTATAGCAAAATATAGTTTTGTAAATGCAACAAGTTAATTACAATTATACGGACGAGAAAGAGTTTGGAACGCTTACTTTGCGATCGGAAATAAACGACCGGTGTGCGCAAGGTTTAGAAGGTTTAAAAGGTTTCGGGGGTTGCTAGTCAAGCATTAGAGCTTATAGAATAGCTAGTCTTCGGCACAGGTGCCTGGAATTAATCCAAGACACGCCTACTCGTGACTCACTGTACAAAACTTCATATTCTTCTTTTTTTCGTGGCGCGAAAGGGTGCCGCGTTTAAACCGGTGCATAGTGGTTATAGATCTGGTCTGATTTCTGATTGACTCGTTCTTTTTACCCTTCCATTAGACACAGTTTCTAAAAAAGTGTTTAATTATATATTTTAAAAATCATTGGACAAGAATGATAAGAACAAAAATTCTTCATTTAACATATCGCTGCTTTGCTTTGATAGTGGCATAACTTAAAAAGTGTAAATTTTATAAGGGAAGCATTTAAAAAATTCCAATTGACTAGTATTTGAATACTACTCTTATTATTTATTTAAATTCATTTTGCTTTTATAAATATTTAGATTAGGTAGAAAAGTACTACACCTGAGGAGTTTATTTATAGGTACAAAAACAGCGAAAAATCATTTTTTTTTAGTTGTGCCACTGATTCTCGAGTTCTGGCCATTTTCGACACTACTTAACGGCAAATTGATTTACTCTAAGTAATTCTGTTTAATTTGGTATAAAATGCCGCATAAGACTTTTTTCTTAAGGAACTTTTGAAGAGTTTGTATGAAGTTGCCCACTATTAGAGTACAGAAAAGATTAAAATTCAAGAATATAATTCTATAAACTTTTTTCATTATATTTGTGTCACCTTTCCCTGTCGAGGTCTGTCTCACGTTTAATAAAACACTCTGTATACAAATATAAAAAGTGGTCAATTGTCGAAGAATTACTTCCTCACCGATTTCGATGATTTTTGAATATGTTGTAGAAATCAACATTCTGAACAACTTTTTCTTTTCACGAAAATGTCGGTCAGCCCTAGTTTCCGAGATATTCGCAAAGAACTATCGGTACCATCACAGTGAAGGTAAAACTGCTGTTTAGGGGTCTCACCTCTGATGATCTTGACCTTAACATATGTTGTTAAGGTCATCCTCCTAAATGACCTTCAGAAGGTTTTAGCTGCCGGTTGTTGTTTGTTAAACAGTTATTAGCAAAAAAAGTTATGTCCATATATTCATGCTGGCAATAAGTAGAAACGGAATGTAATGAACATACGTGTGAGCCAAGTCACCACCCAGCGTTAACCACTCACCCATGATCCCACCACACACCAACCAGTGTTAACAATGCACCCAAAACAGGAAAGTAGGGCTGACCGACATTTTCGTGAAAAGAAAAAGTTGTCCAGAATGTTGATTTCTACAACATATTGAAAAATCATCGAAATCGGTGAGAAAGTAGTCCTTTGACAAGTTCACCCAAAAAATCCTCTTCTAGATCGTATTGTTTTTTCGGACCATAGGGTGGTCCACTAGATCGTTATACAAAAAAATGCAAATAACATGGTCCAGCCCGAACCAAGTCTCCCCATGTTATGCCAAAGGTGATTTCTTATTCGTCTCTTCTCCTTTTCATCGGTTGCCTCACACTTGGTAACACGGTGGTAAACGGATAACACTAGGGTATTCGCGTACACGTGCACGCCACTGGTTAAACGAAAACGTGCTTTCTATCTGAAGAGACAAGAAAACGCGTCCGCCTCAAAGGGAAGTACGTACTTTTATTTGACGACTATGTGAATCTCGTTCTAGTACTTGAATACGGAAAAATAAACAAGAATGCGCACCCCCGCTGAGACTGAGACACTATCTCAGCCTGAGATGTACAAATTCGAGTCTCAGGAAACAGAAGCGCCAACCAGTGTCAATCAAGTAGTTCTATCACCATCTCACCCGGAAACGCACATATTTACTAATAGGTAAGAGCTATCAGATTATATGTTATACGCCAATCATATTCGCAACACCCGATTAACACAGTAATTAGATTCTAGTAGAACCTTAATTCTTTACCTGTGTCCAAAGAGGGGGCAATGTTCCGAAAACGGACAAAAATATATCACCTTGTTACTATAATTATAGAAAACTTAAATTCAATCTTGTATGAACGGTCAACCCATAGATACAACGTTGTCTTATTCTTCTTGACAACTATATTCTTATATGTTTCTGAAAAAAGTAGAAATGTTAAGTAAATAAACTAAATCAATTTTTATTAAAAATAGTAATATTAGTGACGAGTGGTAATCTGAACTAGTTTAGTTTTATTTGACTTCATTGATAGGCTTGGAAAGATATCCTTTTCGAACATTCAAAACTTGTTTATACATTTGAAATAACGCGCCACTCTATGCAAAAATTGCGCGCGCCTGAGCTGCGCATGCGTACTTACCGTGAAATGCTGTTTAAAATTTGTGAATTAAAAAGAATGGAAATCAGTTATGATTCCTATGAAGATCTTCGACAAAATTAATATTCAGGTGTGTTTATGCTACTAGTAGGATTTCGTAAACTAGAACATTAAAATAACGCGAAATACAATAAAATTAGGCTATCTGCATTGACCGCTGCAAACGGATACATTACACTCGATCGTCACGTGTACACTACCCTTCATAACCATGTATTAGGACAAGTGGTCGATTTATAGCAGTCCATAAATGATACTAAAATATGTACATTAGTGATTAAATGTAATTTCTATTACCTTCTTATGTTGTAAACATTTTTTTATTTAAAGAACTTACTCATAGTATATTAAAACTAAATATGTTTTAACTAATCACGGTAAGCGGTCTATCAACCCCTACATTGTATGTGCAGTAATTTCTTTCAACATATCAAAAAATCCTCTCTATTGGAATTTTATTTATTAGAATTCCAGAATAACAGCCCAAAGATGAAGAACTTTGAATAACAGAACAGTTTCATTAGGTATGACACTCATGGACGTATTATAAAAATCGATTTTATCTTATTATAGTATTATATTATACACAACTATAGTAATACATCAAAAGTGAAACCATATTAGCATCTCTTATTTGCCATGTAAATTCCATTGTACGAGAAACAAACAATTGCTCGGATACTTTTGAGCGCTAGTGTATGTCATATCGAAGAAGCAAACGGTAAATTCGTCCCTCTACCGGCGAACTTGTCAGTTTACGATATGTCTCGTGTTCGCGTGTATCATGTGTAGTTTTCTCCGTACTTAATTTTTTTCTTGCCTCGCAAACGTTCAATCGGTGGCATGATTTTTTGACACTTTATGTCAGTGTACGGGACAAGGGTGTTGTATCCGTATGCTACGCTCGGTACGATGGTTTTTACACGGTTTTTCCTTAGGAAGACGCAGAACGACGATGCGGCCGTTCCAAACAACGTCGGTACGAGGAGGTGAGCTCGAAGGCCAAATCGTCGGAATGCGCTTCCGATAACGGCACCATCGTTGACGGTTCCGATTTTGCCCCCGCTCCAATACGTTCACGCATAAAACTCTATTTGCAACTTTTCAAATTTACCAGATTGAAAAATTACCTAGATAGTTTGTGATACAGCATTCGATTGTGATCGCACGATTCATGTATATATGTATAGGTGTTTTTTTTTTGGTCACTTTCAGTTTTAACTAACATGCTGTATTAGCACGTGAATCCAACGTCCTTAATGAATGCAAAATATACTCATTTCATTATATTCATAGAAACGGATGCATAATATATTTTGAAGTAAAATACACTCACTGATACCTATCAGTATTATTAACGAAATTGCTTCACACAAAACATTACTTGTCACTTGATCCTCGTTTACGATTCATTATCCTTGGTTACACACTTGATAGGTATACAAATCGTATACAAGTAAAGAATGATTTTTATATTTTCATTTTATGTTTTAATTACAATTACATAAAGTGTGTGTCATTTATTAAACTATAACTTGTTGGTAGTGAACAATTAAGAATTATAAAGTAGATCATTTAAAATGTACATATTGTATTGCATCATCTATAATGGTTCGAAATAAACATCTAAAAAGTGATAAAATTGATGAATTTATAAACATTGAAAGTGAATCAGTTTGGCTTTTCAGCTGCTCATGTGTTCTCATGTAGCCTCATAAAATCTGTAGTCTAGTAATTATATTTTAGTTTATATTTGTCTTTATCTTTATATTAATCCTTTTATTTTGAACATAATTTGCATAGTAACTGTATTTCCATTGTGTTAAATGTATAAATGTTTAATGCTTTCATAAACAGCATGTGAATTTTAAATTTTCATTTCAAAATTGTTAATATTAAAAATTTCGATCTCCAGCATAAAATTTATAATAACACTTAAAAATTTAGAAGTTGTGCCATTATATGTAACTAGGTATTGTTTCCCGAACAATACGATACCCTCGAAGAAAGTTTCTTGACAGCGAACATAATAACGTGATTGTATCATCAGCTGACTGTTTGCGTCTTGATAAGACCAGACTTCAAAGCGAAACAATAATTTATTTCGCGCTAGTTTTATAATCTTTCAATACTTGTTCCCCATACTCATATTCTCTGATAATTTTCGAACTAGAAAGACTTATTGGTCGATATACATCTAATGCGGATACAATTATCGTTCGGTTATTAATTAAATAAGTATTCTTTTTTCCACAGTCTCCCGAAACAATATCTACAAACAATATTTCTAGATAATTGAAAAGTCGTATTAATCATGTACATATAGTAGTTTTGAATTACATCAGTGCGCGTGCTCACCATTGTGGTCGCGCAGCTTTAAACGGATAAAAAGCCCTTGAAGTCTTCACTTTCGCTGCATCGCATATCAATGAAATCAATAATTGGAAATCAGTTTAAATATGAACTTTGTTAACCATTTTTATGCAATTGTGTATTAAATATTAGTTCTACAGTACCTTAACTTTAAAATATATACATACGATCAAAATAAACTCATATTTTTTTTATGTAGATGTAGTAGGTAAATTTATCATAACTGATCGCATATATTCTCGAAAATAATTTTTCGTTGATTTGAACATAATTGAAATCGTAACAAAATTTTTTATTCATTAAATATGTATTTTTCACACATACAGTGTACGTACGGCTGCTTGCACGTTACATACATACGTGACGTGCGGCGCTCAATACGTATCAGGAGATGAAATAGGGAGAATGCATGTACTTCACTAATCACAAAGGTACAAGCACACAAAATAACCTTTCACCGACACATAGTGCTTTCCTTGCATCTTTGATCCAAACATAAAGTAATCATATGCGACCTTGAAAACTTTAATCAAGCTCACGGTAATAAATTGTAAAAAACAAGCCAAATGTAGTTTCATTAACCCATGTTAATGTTCTAAATATTTTTTCAATATTTGAATAATATGAAGTACAGCCTTCTTTTATTACAATTTATTTTTAATAATATACTTCTAATATTTTTGTTAGAGAAGTAATTTCTGAATTATTGGATAAACACGCACGTTTATTTCTAATTATTGTTTCATATTACTAATGGGTATAAATTAATCAACTGTTTTAGCATGTTATGCATTCAAGAAGAATTGGGCCAGTTAGGTGGGATCGCAGGAGGTCCTATAATTACAGACCCACGTGAAGTTCAGTTACCTAATAACAGCCATACCAATTCTGAAAGCAATAGTAATTCCAGTGAAACTGCAACAAAATGCACTCCAGGTTCAGGGACTCTGGATGCACAAAGAACAAGTTGGGTGGAAGGTATATTGGGATGTATGCGTCCAGTTTGGACTATGCTTTCGAAAGCAGCTGTAAATGAGAAAATTAAAGGGCACCAAAGTAAATAAATTATGTCTTTTTTATACAATTTTTTACATATTATTTATATACGATCGAGAATTAACCAAAAATTATTTCAGCGGATGATTGGGAAATACCGTTTGAGTCGATTAGCGAATTACAGTGGCTTGGATCTGGAGCTCAAGGGGCAGTATTTAGTGGTAAATTAAATAAAGAAATTGTAGCTGTAAAAAAAGTGCGTGAACCACGTGAGACTGACATAAGACATTTACGAAAGCTTAATCATCCAAACATTGTTCAATTTAAGTAAGTGTTTATTTCCTTTTGTTTCCTGAAAAGGGTACAATACGATAATATAAAATATTCATTATCCATTTACAGAGGAGTGTGCACACAAGCACCATGTTACTGTATAATAATGGAATTCTGTCCATATGGACCATTATATGACCTTCTCAGAGCTGGAGAGCCTGTACCACCTCCTAGATTAGTGTCATGGTCCAAACAGATTGCAGCTGGAATGGCCTATCTTCATGCACATAAAATTATACACAGGGATCTTAAAAGTCCAAAGTATGATTTTAAATTTAACAACAATTCAAATGATATATTCTTTTAACATTATTTGTTCTTTCAGTGTACTGATTGGACAAGGAGAAGTTGTAAAAATTAGCGATTTCGGAACTAGCAGAGAGTGGAATGAAATTAGTACAAGAATGAGTTTCGCCGGTACTGTTGCCTGGATGGCTCCAGAAATAATCAGGAATGAACCTTGTTCTGAAAAAGTGGATATATGGTCGTATGGCGTTGTATTGTGGGAACTATTAAGTGGAGAAATACCTTATAAAGATGTAGATTCTTCTGCAATTATATGGGGCGTAGGCAATAATTCTCTTCATTTACCAATTCCTGCAAGTTGTCCAGAAGGTTACAGGTTACTCGTAAAGCAATGTTGGGCTGCAAAACCACGCAATAGACCTTCCTTTAAACACATCGAAATTCATCTTGGTATCGCAGCAGTTGAAGTGTTATGTACAAAACCTGATGAGTATTTTAAGACACAGGTACAGGAACATTAACCTTGAAAAAAAAATACGAATAATATTTTAAATTGACGTGCTTAACAATTGTTTTAATTATAGCAATCTTGGAAAAAAGAAATCAGAGATCACATGAAACAGATGCAAACGAATAGTTGTAGTAGCCCTAGATTTGAAGCTGATCTGATTCGACGACGTGAGGATGAACTAAGACATGCTCAAGATATTCGGGAACACTACGAACGTAAACTGGAACGAACTAACAATTTGTATTTAGAATTAAGTGCTGTTTTACTGCAGTTGGAACAGCGTGAACGAGATGTGATGAAGTAAGTAATTAACTGACAAGCAAAAGAAGTTCAAAGGTAGAATGATCAGTACATTCATTAATTTCCTATTCCTTAGGCGGGAACAACAAAACGGACATAAACAATGTAAAAAACGTCTTGTACATCCCCTTTTAAAAGCTCAAGAAAGACTTCATCGTAGACGTAATCAAACTACACAATTTTCAACATCATCTACACCAACAACACCACCATCACCAACAGATTGCCCCCAGAGTCCTGTGAAAGCAACTATGTATACACAGTTAAATGAGTCTAATCAACCAGAAACAATTCTAGCTCCGAATAATAGTTTTAAACAACGTAAATACAGACATCGTAGGGTGGGATCTTAAAATAAATATTTTCAAGAAATATATATATATATATATATAACTTCCTTTTTTTCTAATTCAGTATGTACAAGGTATAATGTTTGTTATTTGTTTGTTTTCAGAATACAGAAGTATGTGCACGTTTTGTGGACAGTCAAACACAAACAGATGTAATGGACATCAGTGAAACTGATTTCAGTCCTGTCACAAATACAACAGTACCAACAACAGAAAAGCTTTCTGTAAATAGCATTAATAAACAATCATTAAGTAAACAAGTACCAGAGTGTTTAAATGGGAACTCAATTCTGTCTGAAGTTCATTACAGAATGCAATCTAGTTCTTGTTCCAGTCCAGAACCGTCAAATGAAAATCATGTAAATGGAAATGAGCGTTTGAAGGACTGTAGTGATGACGATAATCTCGAAACACTTGGCCGAAAAGTTAGTGAAATTATCAATGCTAATCGCCTTATTTCTCCCATAGATAATGGAAACTGTGACGATGTGATAATATCACATAGGTAAAATACATTTATAGTGTACTTGGCATGTTTTATATAGACGAGTTTGCAAAAATAATTATGAACAAATTAATAAATCGTTTCAGAGGTAAAGAAGAATCAGTGAAACTATCTGGACATTTTTGTGGAATTATTATTAATGGTACTAATGTGCAGCAAGAACAGTCTGAAATTAGGACACGGCCTGGATCGGAAAGCATAGACACATTGTGTGATCACGAGGATGATAATTGCGAAGAAAGTTGGTCAGATGAAGAAGGAGAAGATCCAAGTTATACGTATAATTACTCTCTAAGACGAAGAAGGTACATAGCCTTCAAAAAACATACACGCACTTGGTATCATATGTTTTTGCAATATAAAATAGTATTCATTTTAAAAAATATTGACAATATATAAGCGTGTGTGTGATCGTATTCTGTTATATGTCTAACATGAACATATTTTGTAGTATTGCAAGAAGACCAATTGGTCCTGGGTGTAGATTAAGAAGGTTTAAACATGCTACAGTGCGAATAGAAGGAGTATTAGCTTCTGATGAAGAAAATACTTCTGAATATTCACATCCTCCGTCCAGTCAATCCTCCACGTTGGAGAGCAATCCTGATGTGCAAAGAGTACTTCGTAATATTCATTATTCCCATAAGGTATGTTAAAATACTTCTTTATTACTTACAGATACATAGCATACAGTATGATGTTATTTATTTTTTTTTTTAATTTAGAGAAAAGAGATAGATGATGTTTCTGATACGTCAAGTCAATCAGAAACGGACGAAGTCAGTGAGATTACAATTGCACCTCAACCAGTAGGTGCGAATTTGAAAATAGAAAGCAGCGTCTAGATTAACGTGTTTTTTTATATCTCATTTATGAGTGATATATTATAAGTACCTAATAGCCAGTGCATTTCTGTAGTGTATGTTCTCATTCTGTCCTGTGTTAAATATTGTAGATATTTATCCATTTAAGATATACGTTAGATGTATATGTACATTAATTTTATGCGTTGTTTATCGAGAACATATTGCATCAATATTCTAAAATTTTCGGATATTAACCGAAAAATAAGTCAAACCTTTTTTAATCGCATTGAAAAATTAAACGTAACTTCTTTTTTTTTCTCATTCAACTTCAATAATTAAATGAAAACAAATTTTCTTTTATTGTTTATGATATAATTAACACTATATTATAGAACAGTCGACAGTTCAAACGATAGATAATTTTTCTAAAAAAAGGAATGTAGCATAGATTGATCATATTTTCAGTGAGGTTGAAACTTTACAAAAACATGTTTTTATAACATGTTGCTATATAGTATTATTTGTAAATACATCCACCACATACTTACTTTTCATACAGACGAAAAGACAAATCATTAATTCATAAAATATTCATTCCATAATTCCTTCTTTTTTATAGTTCCTTTTAGTAGGTAATATCACCTGCAGCTAGATATGAATTGATTTCTATCGAATATTGCATTTGTTTCGAATTAGTAAGACAAACTCAATTAATTCTGAATTAATAATTCCAATGAATGCAAAATCAGTTAACGATAATTGCATTCATTTGTATGTATATATAGAATCTACCATAGTGTAGAAACCGATTATAGAAAATAGAAAACTCGTATAATAATACGATAGTTTACAAGAAAGTATTGTATATAAATACAATGAAGTCGTAAAAGAAAAATATTTCATTAGAAACATAAATACTTAAAAAAAATAATTTAGATGTAAGTAACAGAATGACAATTATGAAATAAATTTTACGACGTAAGTGCCTGTGGCAATTTGCATAAAATACACCAAACAGTGACTATTAAAGTATTAAAATAAGAAAAAATTAAAACGTAATGAAGCGGTAATGTGCAATATGAAAGGAACACATAATTTGAAATAGAAAATTGTAAGTACAAGACTTTTCCAATTCAATAAATACATAACTGATGACAAAAAAAAATTGACATACAAATGACACGAGGTATTACGTTAAGACTACTTTACCAGAACAATCTCATGAAATATTTTTGATGCACTAAAATTACATTTTTACTGATAATCTTACTATTGATGTACGTAAAATACTGCATGCAACACATTTTATTTCATTCTTCAATTAACAAATGAAAAAGAAGTCTAATTCAATGACTATGTTTACAATAAAATTAGTATAAGTTGTATCATAAACATAGTGAAAACAGTGCAGGTTTGCCTTGAGTTTCAAACTGAAACTCAACAATAGTATTGGACTGTACGTGAAAGTCATACTCATTCTTTCAAATTAATAACAGTTAAGTATTGCAGTTACGTATGCATAACTAGACGATATTGTCGACTCAATTGTCCAAAATACTGTTCTGCATCCATCTATTGTACCTGCTTTGAAACTCAAATTGCCTTAATGACAATTACTATACTTTGTAAATATAGACAATACAACGTAAACTTAAGAAAATAGTAAATAAGATTCAGTATAACATTTTGATGTGCTCATTTGGACGAAGTAATTAATAAGACATACAGAGATGTACTTTCTAATAATCATACATATTGTATAGATTACATTTATGCGATTAGTTGCATAAATTGTTCCTTCTTGTGCAGTGGCAGCTAAATTGACTAGTTCTATTATTCTTAATAATAGAAGCAGTACACAAAATTTGTGTTATAAACAATAAAGTTGATTTACAATAATTGATCTATTTCGTTTTATTGTAAACCTTACTCACACCATCTGACAAACTGAATATTATATCTCAATTTTGTGAAAATAAAACTATTGTACGAAGTTGTAGAACATAGTCATTCGTATTTAATGATGTTTATAAACAAGTAATATTAATGTTTCTACTTGGTTAAAATATACGTTTTTTCGTGTAAAGAGAGCCAATAGAATATATATGTATACTATAATTTCCTTTTATATAGAAGTACATCAATTTATTAAATTACATACAATAAATATTCGCTCAGCCTACTCCCAATAAGGTCAAAATAATGAAAGAAATGTTTTTTTGTGTAAAAAGAACTTGTAATAAAAAGCGTTTAACATATACACTGCTGTAATGAAAAATGTAAATCTCGATGTCTATGTAGTTGTAGTACTTATTTAAGAAACGAGTACTCAATATAGTTTGAAAGAAATTGGTTTTTATAACATAAATGCTAAATGTATGGTACACATACACACGAAGTCTTTATCTCATACAATCTTATTTACATCCAGCAACTGAGTAATCTTGTTTTATGTAGTACATAACCATGCAAAGATCTCAAAGCTAACTTCTTTCTTACAGATAACTTTTCAGTAGCTAATCATTGTTTTGGTCAGTTATAAGTTTATAATTAATTTAAATACATTGTATATACAAAACTTAAAATAAAATTTCAAATGATGACATCAAACTTTTGTTGGTATTATTGTATGTAAAGTAAAATTGAGTTCTTTAATATCCATCAGTGCATATATACTGGTATTTTCGAGAATACCAGCATAGTATTCGAAAACGTCAAATATGACGGATATTGTGCATAAATATAATATTAAAAATAATGAAAAATAAACAATTTTACACTTTCGATAGCATCAGACTGATATTGTATGAAAGAATAAGGTTAAAAAAAGTGATATTAAATTACTTATCAAAGTCATTCAATGTAAACTTCTTAAGAACATTGTTCTATCAAATTAACAAACTTCAAACATGATCTACTTTTATTTAATTGTTTACCAATCATAGAATAAAAAATTATAGATAAAATAACTACTTTTCAATTTACCAATAAAACGAAGTCTGGAGAAACTCAGTGGTACTTTTATACAATGATGAAGCACTTTGCCTCAACCCAGTAAACAAAGATACAACACCCTCTTTTTCTTCTTCTTGCTCTTCTTCTTCGGGTAAGTAATCTGGCATATTATCTGTGTCACCATTGTCTCCATTGTCTCCATTCGTATGAAGCTACAAATATATTATGTTTTTAAGAAGATACATAGTCCAAAATATATGCATACATATACTAACCAATTTTACAAGATACTCTTGATTGAATTTATTTCTTGTAACTAATCTAGCTTCCATATTCTCTGTATTGTTTCTAATAGCTTCTGCAATCTGTTTCGCTGTGACATAACTTAAAGTACGCATTGTAACACGCTGATGTTCCACATCAACTACAAGAGAAACTAATCCATCAATTCTTATTAGTATTGACTCCAACTCTGAACGTGTTTCCTATATAATATACCATTGGTATTAGACATTAAATTTAATTTATAGAAGCATATATATTAGCTATATTTACCGGTAACAAGCCTTGTACATGTAGCACAATAACATGAGTCTTTAACTTCTTTGGTTCAATGACTCTTCTACACCGACTACGTAAATTGTATATTGGTGGTTTCATTCTTTCTATGTCATCTTTTACTGACTGGGCTCGTTTGACTACCTTTGGTTCATCTGCACTATATTTATTTATAATTGCATCCAAGGCTTCGCGAACTCCAAATGTAGAGGTTATGTGTACATAATTGTCCACATTTTTAACAAATAGCTCCAAAATATCTAGACCTAAATTAATAATCTCGAAATCCGGTATTTCTAGGACGTACGCTACGTATGAGAGGACTGTCTTATCCTGGAATGAAAAGATTACGGTAATAATAACATAACAACGTATGTGGTTAAAAGAAAAACAATCTTACTTTCAAAATCGTGTCATGGTTTGCAAAATCATAAGCCAACTTTTTGTACGTTCCAAGTGTTGCTTTCAATTCTTTTGGATCTATAGAATCGTCCAGGTCCATTATCTATAAGCGTAATGTTGACATTAACTTGATCGTAAAGCAGTATGATCAAAGCAACGAAAAGGTGTGTTGATTCAAGTCATACGGTTATCTATTTCCATTAACATTGATAAACACTAAAAAATTAATGGGATTCAGTTAAAATTTTTGTTAAATTAAATTGTGAAGCAACTATTTACAGTACAAGCGTCCCGATAATCGAACACATTCACAAAACTGATACCATATGACATATAGTGTATGTATGTAGTCAGGTCTAGTTTTGTATAGCTCTAGTTTAGCTACAATATATGAGAGATGAAATCAGAGACGAGCTGCTACTTAAAAACTTTAATCAATAATGTAAGTTCAGCGAAAACAATTTTATAACGTCTAGAAAACTTCTACCAAAATATTCTTATCTGAGTGGAAATGATAATCGTGACAATAGAGGATACATTTAAATGTACACTCTGACGTATATGTATAGATAATAATTCGCGTCGAAGAAATGCTTTCTAAAAAACCAAAAAATGGACAAAACATGTGTACGTTAACGCATACATAAATTCTGTATATACGTCCCCGCGTGTACACAAGTATTCATCTATACGTAATACACGTATGTACGTAAATATGTTTAATACACATGCGTAATTCAGACAGATGTATTCCGTATTACCCCTACGTAGTAATAACAACAGTCATGCTAATGCCAGCTGCTGCCAAATTGTTTCGATGACGCGCATATGGTTGTACAGTAGCGAAACTGGTGTTTGGATGACGTACTAGAATAAGATGGCCGACATTAGCTCTATCAGCTACCAACAGCACAACACCTGTATTACTCCTTTAATGAACTTCTTTCTTATTTTACGGGATCAAGAGCTTTAGACTTCCGTTAGTGTTTTCTTAATACATTTCCAGAAAGAAGTCGATGTACTAGACAAGCACTGACGGCTGTTGAGGGTAATAGGGAAGTCAAATGAAACGAGACGTAAAGTAGAAACGTACAGCTGACGTATTTTCCAGATAGAGTTGTGCAGGTGATTGTTCGCAAAGTGTGCTAGTGTAGAGTGGACATCGATTGTCAGAACAATGGAATACGTGTTGATAAAAGATATACGGCCGGGCCAGAAAAACATTAATGTGGTGTTTATTGTTCTGGAAGTTGGCCATCCTACCATCACCAAAGAAAACCGCGAAGTTCGAACATTTAAAGTGGCGGACAGTACGGCTTGCATGAACGTTTCAATCTGGGACGAGCCTGGTCAACTTTTAGTACCGGGTGATATAGTTAGATTAACGAAAGGATACGCATCCGTTTGGAGACAATGTTTGACGTTGTATTCTGGAAAAAATGGGGACATTCAGAAAATTGGAGAGTTCTGTATGGTTATAAATGAACAGTTGAATATGAGTGAACCAAATCCTGCTTTGGCTCAGCAAATGATTAATCAGAGTGGATCTGGTCCACCTGGTAGTAACGTTAACAATAACATTACGAATAATGGAAATGCAAATAATATTGCTGGTCAACCTGGAAGACAACCATTAGTACGTTTCCTTTAATATTGATCATAAACTGTAATGGTGCTGTAAATAGTAGATTTGTTATGAATTTTCGCCCAGTGAATGCAGGATCATTTTTACTCAATGACGGTGATATCGTCATATTTTTCATTGTTCAATGTTATAATGTTTGCTTCATTGTTCTATTTTTTTTATATCTTTATTTCATATTGAAAATATAAACATTCGCTTGGAAAAATCAGTTAACAATTATGGCTACTCAGATTGCTCCTGCATATTACTCTTGGTGAAATCAAAATCGTGAGGTAGTAAAATCGGTAGGCGTTGAGTTTACACGTTCCGAGCGTCGAAACAGCAATTTGAGAGATATGGGGGAGATAAGGAACTCGAGGCTTATTCAGGGCCGCCGATGTCAACTCGGAATTGTTTTCCCTTGTAGTACATTTAAAAAAAAGTATAAGACACATACATACAACATTGGATGCTACTATGTCAATTGTAATCGCCTCTTAATCCCTTAATTTACGACCTTGCTATTTCGGTTCCACCAGGAGTACTTGTGTTACGTTCATACTATTCATCTTGTGAGAGTTAATGTTTCTATTTTAATTTTATTCAATGTAGGCAATTCAAAGTAATTCAACAACACCCGCTAGCGGCACATCCGGTAGTTCTACAACAACAAAGAGTGGAAATGGTAGTAATGGTAGTAGTGGTACAAACAGTGGTAATGCTTCAGGACTTCCAGGAGGATCTGCGAGATATTCTGGTGATTCAACAACGAAAACAACAGTTGCAACAAAAACTAATTCTCGAGGTCGTGGAAGCTATCGAAATGGCGGGCGCAGTGATCGTAGATAACACACGAACAAAAAGCGGTTAATTATATATGTGTAATATGAATATGAAACTGATTACATTCAGGACAACTGTAATATACTGTTTTTGTAACAATCCTGTATATGTGTATTCATGAATTAATGTATACGATAGAGTCTGATTAAAAGAACAGATGAATTGAAGACAATCGAATTGGACAATTTAAGGATCAAATAATTAAATTATTGTTTAGTACAAATAATATGATTTATACACGTACTAATTTTATATATAATACGTTATACGAGCATGTATTTGAAGATTGTCTCCAACTCATTTAATTTGTAAATAATTTTGTTTAGTAGTTTTTTTAACTATATTTTAGCAATAACTAGAACAGAGAACTATATGTACGAGTATAATTGACACTATGTATATGATAGAAAATGAATTTTAAGTAATATTTCTTATTGTATACGAACACCTCTTTTTACATAAGTCTTCAAATTGATTTTTCATATTTGATTGTTTCAACTGGATGTGCATTTTTACTAATACAGAAGAAGTTACAGAAAATTAAGCATCTACATTTCCAATTTCCTATTATGAGTAACATTAGTTTAAGTTAATATATGCACACATACGTTTTACTTATTTTTATTACATCTCTGTTTAATATATATACATAAATTATTTTTTTGTAAATTTAATTTAATGGTTTTATTTTACTAAATTAACAATATTATTTTTAGTTGTATTTATGTAAAAATAATAAATTATAAAATAATGTTTATATAACTTTTTGTTTGTTACTATATATATGTATATCAATTGGTGAAATTAAAATTTTAGAAATGTAAAAAATTCTTATATACTTTCAAATATTTATATTAATAATTACTACTTATTTAGACCGATTATTTTACAATTTAGATCACAAATATGTGTGTACTTCTTTATGAAAACAAAAATAAGAATGCTGACTAAAATCTCACTAATTCGACAAATATATTTATCATAGTGAAACGTGTGAGCAAGATAAAGAAATTAACAAAACAATGTTTGTGAAACTATATACCCATATAAATTTAATATTCTGTCTTCGGTGCGTAGCTTTTAGGTTATGTTTATATATGGTTCCACACTTTTATCGGATGTGTCAACATCAAGGTAAGTGATAATGAAGTGTGTTCAGTGCTGCTTTGTTGAAATTTTGATTCATGTTTATAATTTTAAAGTGTTATACATTTCCAGAACGAATATAACAATTATGTCGTGGTTGTTGCGTGGATATTTCTATTATTGAACATATGATTCGATAACAGATGTCGAACGTCAAATATAATAATTTTTTAACAATTTTTATGTATATGAAGACATAAAACGGTATGTTCAATATGTTTCGTACACAAATCAGCAGTATCATACTATATTATTCAACATTCTAATTATTAAAAAAATTGTATTGAATAATACTATCAATATAAAATAAGTTACATTTTTTTACTTATTTTTAAATATTAACTAATAATTTGCTTTGATCAAGGTACTAACGTTTTCTTTATATGTGTAGTTAAAGTTGTATGTTGTTATTATTTTCTAAAAAATGTTGAATATTATGTGTTAAGCTATATAATATTTAATAATATGAATTTACATTTGCAGGTTCTTTTCGTTTGAACTATGACAAGATCACATATTAAATATCAAATTGCCAAAGATGCAGAAGATACATCGGATTATTTTCTTCAACCTGTTCAAGAATTTTCAGCCACATCCAAGAAGGACATTTCTCTTTGGAAGGGAGCCTTCAAAAAGTTTATATTAATTATTACTTATTTTGTTTTATCTGTAGGCCTAACGTTTTATCTACAATGGCTTTATAATACATATGTGAGTGTCCAATTATCACATTTGTAAAAATTTATGTTATAATTTCTCTTTAGTTCAAGTGTTATTAATCTTTAATTATCCCTTTTTCATTTCTAGGGTTTCAATTTCCCACTTACTGTGGTGATATGTCATTTAAAAGTGAAATTTTTATTATCTGCCATAATAAGATGCATCAGAACATGTTACAAAAGACAACAACAATTAAAACTTCCTTGGCAAACAATGATATGGATGGTTATGCCGATAGGTATAGCAAGCGGTCTTGATGTTGGTTTATCCAACTGGGCACTTTCATTAATCACAATATCATTGTATGTATACACTATGTTAATTTGTTAATTGAAGAAAGCACATTTACTATTATGTATTACTAAATTATATTTTTATTTAGGTATTCTATGACAAAATCAACAGCTATTATTTTTATTCTTGGTTTTGCACTTATCCTAAAATTAGAAAGAAAGGTGATGAAAATAAATATGTATTCTACACTTTATACCTCATTGATAAGATATGCTAAATAAAATATTTTGTTACAGTCTTGGTCATTAATATGTATCGTAGTAATGATATCTGGAGGCTTATTCATGTTTACTTATAAGTCCACGCAATTTGGCATGTTCGGATTTTTAATCTGTTTACTAGCATCATTTTCAAGTGGTATTCGATGGACCATGACGCAACTTACCATGCAGAAGTCTAAAGTAGGATTGAAAAGTCCAATTGATATGATGTTCTATATGCAATTATGGATGTTGTTACCTATTGTACCAGTGATGCTATGGTTTGAAGGTAAAATTTTGTATGCGTGGCAATTATGTCTTTACATCTTTGCAAGTAAAAAAATTGTTTTCTTCAAGAAAAAACCACATTTTCGATTTCTAGGATCTCATTTATATAATAATTTCCAAAGTACTGAGTGGAGTGACATTAATTCTGTTGCAATGACTACAAGTGCTGTGTTAGGGAGTGCTCTTATAGCTTTCCATATGGAAGTTATGGAATTTTTAGTTGTTACGTACACATCTAGTCTGACTCTTGCGATTACAGGAATAATTAAGGTAAGGCAATAATACTGTCGATTGCATGACATGATATAGCATTGCATTAGGTTCATCATAAATACTGTCCGTTCTTCTTTTTGAAATTTTTTGTCCAAAACAATTCATAATTAATATCAGTCTATAATATAATCTTTGCTATTATTAGTGAACTATTTATGTTCCTTTATTAGATGATTTAACATGGGTCATGTATTTTGTCTAGAAAAATACATTTTCAACTAAATATAATACTATTTAATTATACAATAGTGTATACTTCACTTAATTGGATTTATGAGGGAAGTCAAAATTAATTTTCTGGAAGAAAAAAATTTCTGTCTAATCGATTTTTTTACAGGAAATATGTATTTTAATTTTGGCCGTTGAATGGAAAGGTGATCAAATGAGTGGTCTAAATTTCATAGGATTGTTAATGTGCCTTGGCGGAATTACAATTCATACTATTCAAAAAATAATATCGAGTAGGAATAAAAAAACTGAAAATCTGGAACTACAATTAAATTCCTCACCAAGTATTAACGTTAAAAGTGAAGAGGGAATTGATACAAGTTTGCCTTTGTTAACCGAAAAATCAACATCTTTAACAAATCTTTTAAACACGGAATTTAGTTCAGACGATGAAGATGCAGTTAAGCAACGTGAAAATTCTACTGAGATATTATCTACTATAGTGCAACGTAGAGAATAGTAACGTGTAGGTAATTGAATATTGGTGTAATGGTGTGCAATGAAAGAAAATTTATTTAACATGGAAATCATTCCGTGTGCATTATACATACTATTTACTGCATTTCGTACATATTTTTACATTGGAAATGAATGATAAATCTAAACTATATTACTTTCTAAAAAATTTTTAATAATGTCTGTTACCGAGCATTGGTTTGAAGATACAATCTGTGTTTATGAATGCCACCATTATTATACTAAATTTATTTTGACTACATTAATGCGCTAAAAACATTAAGATTTATTACTTTCACATTTATTCAAATGGATATTAAGTAAAGAAAAGATATTCAAAGAATTTATGTACTATGAAAAAAAGATTCAAAAGAGCATTCCTTTTCTAAATAGCATTTATTAATTGCGTCTATTTAAGAATTGCTTATAGCTTTTATTTTGCGCTAAAAAGTGTCAGTCTATCTTAATAGTTCCTCGCTTAGGAATGGCATAATTGTATCTTACCGATTAATATTTTTTGTCATTTTTGTTTTTATTTAACATACTTTTTTAATTTTTGGTACATTAAGACTTTGATAAGCGCACAGTGTAATAATGTGTAATTGTGTACGTATAAAACGTAAAATGTGTATATTGTAAGTTGTTAATAATTGTGATTAAAGATTTGATATAATTAATTATAATTTTATCAGTTAAATTTCTCTGGTATATAAAGCAATTTTTTTTATAATCCTTTGTTTCAATATTTAAGTAAAAACACAATACTTACAAATTCTCAGGAAATTATATGTTGTGTTATAAGTGTGATGTTCATTTGATTTATGATATGCGGACTGATTTGTATAATGATATTATGTTACTTTGCCAAAAATTTATTTAATTGTTACGTTTTCATATTGAGAACGTTATAATTCTTTGCTATATAATTTCCATGTATTTTTAATACATTTTGTATATATAAGTATGGTATCGTTTTACTATCTACTTACTTAAATAACTGCTGCAAAGCTTACTAAGTATTATATAATAAACAGTCAAAATCATTACACTTTCGTGATTTTATAACCTTTGTTGACATGATTGGCAAGTTCACACATTCTTTTATTTGTTAATATATGAGAATCAAGTAGAAAGAAATATGTATACAAGTTTAGTTTCTTACATAAACAAGAATATAATTGTAACAATTGTGTTTATATAAAAAATTAAAGGTTTCATTAAAAAATGCATGAAGTCATTCAGTTTTTTAAATATGTTCTAAATTGATTCGCATAAAATGAGACAAACCTATTTTTATATACAGTTGTATTACTATAATAAGAATAAATATGATCTTGATAATTATTATGATATAGATTAATAAATAATTGTTACCTACATAATTTAATAAATAGTTTCCCAAACTTGTTACTTAGCTTGTTTCATTTGATTAGTCTTTTTAGATTTGGCTTCAATTCTGTCTTCTAGTTTGTGAATTAAGTCATCCAATTCATCCTGCGCAGAAAGTATGAAAAACGAAGTTAAACTTAAAAAATGCATTTTGAATCTATCAAGAAAATAGATGTGTAAAATCTTATTTACCTCGTCGTATGTATACATGAGAGTACAATATTTTAAAGCTTGTTTCTTTCTACTAAGTAATTGCAATGCATGTGTTAAGCAGTAAACACTGTCATCATGCGAATTACTAACTAACGAAACAAATAGATTAGCTCTACAAGTTTCACATTCAAAATCACCATCATCTTCTTTTACTTTTTTGCCTTTCTTTCGTTTTCCACTATCTGGTAAAGGTAACCTTTCTGTATTTGTGAGACCCACTGCATCTAATTGTTTTCGGTAAGTTATTTCTTTCTCACGAATTTTAATCACACTTGGTAGGATCTGAAAAAGTAATTTCGTGTAGCTCAAAGTAATAATTGTCAATAATGTAGAGTAGTACATAATTAGTACCAATGCTTACCTGTTTCATTACATCTATATGGGATCTAGAATCATTAATAATATTTATTAATAACCTTTCAAACGAAAAGATTGATGGTTCACAGCTATCTTGTATATCCTAAAATAATTAATTAAAATCATTATTACGTTACATTATTTTGTTGTGATATTGTTCAATTATCATAAAATACTCGATAAAGAACAGGAGAATCTAATTTACTCACTTTAAATACTTGTTCAGCAGTTTCTAACCAAGACAGTTGTGCAAAGTAAACGCTTTCAGATACTACATAACCAGTACATATACTTGACGTAAATGCTTTAGGGAACACAATTATAAATTGGCCTGGTTCTTGTACAGTTTGGCATAACGATACTCCATTACTAACTAATAGTTCTGGGGGAACCATAGCTGTATCTGAAGGTAACCATATAGTTTTATTTTTACAATATCGTGGCACCATTTTCGACAGAGCTTCTCTAAAGTTATTGTTGTGCTCGTCTGGTATACCATACCAGATCTTTTTAGCACCTGTATGTAAATATTCTATCCATGGAAGACCATGTGGATCACGGTACCAACAGCATGCACTAAATAACATGCCAACATGTAGTGTTGGTACTGTCACTCCTGTAAATAAAGATAATATTAATTTAAAAAGACAAAACATTTTTTTAGGATTGTAAGCATGAGTTCTAGCTATAAAAACCTTTGCGTACCCATTATTGGACCTAAAGCTCTTAGCACTGATCCAGCATTATTGGTAAGTACTTTAAGATTCCACGGATGTCTGGCGAATGGACTATTCTTGGCAACAGAGAATCCAAATCCACGACCACTTGAGTCGATACTTGCAGCGTGTACACAGACATGTCGTTTTCTTTCTGCGACATGCTTCCAGAATGCATTTTCAACCTCATCCGCAGAAGCACCTTCTGTTTCATTTCCAGATCGCTGATTTTCACCAAACCACATACGCTGTGTATTGCGCGCGATGCGGTAAAAAGCATTTAATGGCATATTTCTACCCTGTAGAATCACATAAATTCACGCATTATAAAAGACTCTAAATCGCTCTTATAAAACGACGATTCGAAAACACGTACTTTCACAATGCATTCTTCAATTTCATCTGAACTATCATCTTCTTCATCTTCCTCATTATCATTTGTAGGCGCATTTTGTCGTTGCAGAGCTCTGCTTTCTCTTCTTACCCATTCTGCTTCAACTTCATCGAACAATTTACCTCGTTCCTCTAAATTTACCAATTAACTGATTAGTAAATTGAACAATTGGTCTTTGAATTGTTACATTTATGTGTGTTATGAATACCTGGAGATAGTGTATCGTATGGTAATAAATATTTACAGTAGATGTCATCCAATTTAGTTACACGATCTTGAGCAGACTTTGGTATTTTCATACCATCAGCTACTTTTTGCCACTTTTTCTTTTCAATAACTTCTTTTAACCCACCTAAGCTTTGAACTGTTTGATACAAGTGAGGCAAATCAACTTCCATTCCACCGATCTGTAACAAATATAAAATTAGTATATATATTATAAAGGGAAACAGTTATGTAAATAAACAATGCATTACAAAGAAAAAATTTTACCCAAGGAGGATGAGTTAGTGTAATGCTTTGTGTGGCCAAATATGTTTTTATAGCCATCATTTCCTTTACATTAGGACCCCATCGATGAAGCATACGATGTACATATTGATTGTATGCAGTAAACCGCATATCGTCTGATACTTTACATTCCGGCTAAAATAAGAATTAAAAATACTGTCCAATATATTTATCTAACTACTTATAAACATATATGTTTAATTAGAAGAATTGTGTATAGATGACCATTACCTTAAAGTTAGGTGGTGGTACAACTCTGCATATTCCAAATTTCTCTGCAATGGGTCTGATTTTATCTATATACTCCAAAGGATCTTGAAAATCTTTCTCACTAGGGTGAAACGTCGGAGCTTCAACTAAACGCGCATCATTGTTTTCATTTTTTGCACTTGGAAATGTTACATTATTCGAAGGAGAACACATTTCAGTACTTTTCTGTTTAGATTTAATTTGACATCTGAAATATGGAAATGCAAAGATTAGTAAGAATACTGTTTAGCTCTACAATTTAAAGAATAGAATTACAATTGTACCTTTTCCCGTTTTTATTTGAATCAATAGAGGTTTTTCTTTCCCTGGCAGTTTTTGGGGACTTTGTTAATTTTTCCGTTCCTGCAGTTCCAATGCTTTGTCTATTCGTTGTCGTATTTTCACTTTTACAGGGGGAAGACGGTTGAATTTCAGAAGTATGTACAGTCATAATAGAAGGTGTGCTGGATGAAGTAGATGGCAGTGGATTGTCTGCTCCTAACAGAGCAGAATTTGGTGGTGTACGAGTTGTAGGTTGCACTGTACCTATAGGAGGGCAACGAGCAACTGATGATGGTGGTTTGGTAACTAGCTTTGCTCTTAATAGTACTTTCTGATTAGGTCCATTCGGTCCTTCAGTGCCAAGTTTAACAGCTACACCTTGAATTAACTGTTGTCCTTGAACTAAATTTGGACCATTTCTCGTAACAGCTTGCAAAGGTATGTAAAACAGTTGACCATCATTCTCATCATCATTTTCATTATTGTTTTCTGTTTGAGTAGATATTTCTGTGCTTTTCTGTTGATTTGTATCATTTTCCACTGTATGTTCTTGTCCTTGCGCACTATCATCAAGATTTACTTGAACAGCTATTGAAGCACTGCAGTTTACATTGCTCCAAGTTGTTAGCTTATCTAATGGTAGGACTTGTATATTGGCTAAAGTTGCAAAATTTTTCGGTAAGTCGAACCTGTTTACATTTAATAATGAATTTGATGTATTTTTTGACTCTACTACTTTATTTTCATTTTTTTGAAGTGCATTGCTAGCACTAAGGTTTTCTTTAGGTTCAGATACTTCACAATTATCGTTGTTAATTTTTTCCATGCTTTTGTTCGTATCATTCTCAGATGAAATGATAGTCGCCTTTGATGATTTATTAGGTTCACGAATTTTACGTCTAAAGGGAGTACTAACAGGAACTTCGGTGTCACTTTCAAACGCGTAAACACTACTCTCGTTTTCCGGAGAAAATGCATTTGCATTCGGCGTTACCGTTTTACGCTCTTTAACTTTCGGTAAAAACGGTTTTCGTGGTTGAAATATGGACTTCTTCTCCAATGACAATTTCTTTTCAGCAGATCCATCTCCTGAACTATGATCGGATTTTAAAGTTGTATCATTATCTTCTCCAGGAGAGGAGTCTTTATTTGGTTTTATATTTCGTCCTTTAGTAATTTCTTTCAAATCCACATTGTGTTTTTTTACGTTTGTCGACTCATTTTGTTGTTTTACATCAACGGATTGGGAATCTATTGCTGTGATGGGTACATATTTATTCTGCATACTTAAACGATCTTTCATGCTTGCTTTTTCTGTTAATTTTGAAAGTGTGACATTAACTGGTCTGACCAGGTGTTGAATTTTTGTTGAAATAGATAAATGCGAAACATCTGTCTTTTTCTCACACATTTCATATTTAAACATAGATACATTCTCCATTTCTAACTTGCTCTCCTCTTTGGCAAGGGAACTTTCATTCAACCATTTTTCAATTTGTTCAGTCGACATGTTTACTTTTTCTTTTCTTACATGTAATGTTGATAATGACATATCAATAACATTTGTAGAAGAAATTTCGGATTTGTGAAGACATTCTTTATCGGTATTCGTTACCAACACTGTTTGTAATTCTATTTCATTCAGCAGTTCCGATTTTGTTTTCTGAACTTCTTCGGACTTGACATATTCAATATTCGGCATACAGAGGGCAGACAGAGAACTTTTATCTAAGAAAGTTTTATCCTTATTTTCTGGTTCCTTACACGTATCTACACTTTTTATTTTCTCTGTTTCAGTTATCTCCAATTTCTCTGTGGTCTTTTCTGTGATAAGAAGATTAGCATTAGCATGTGTTTGACAAGAATTTAATACTTTGGATATTGCTTTCTTTGTAAACCCCCGAAAAGATTCCTCATCGTCTGAAATTTTTGAAAGATCCATCTTTGCAGAACGTTCGTCCAAAGGCTCCTCAACTTTACCTAAAGTATCGTCATTGCCATTTTCATTGGCATTGTCGTTTATATTAATACTGACTTTGACATTGACATTGTCATGATCATGGTCATTCTCGTTATCGTTATCATGGTCAATATCATTATCGTTAGCATTAGCATTATCATTATCAATATCATTATCATTGTTATTATTATTGTTGTTGTTATTATTATTATCATCATTATCATTATCATGTTCATGTTCATGTTCATTTTCATTGTCTTCATTGTCATTTTCATTTTCATTTTCATTAATAGTAACATCTTCGATTTGTTCGTGAACTTCTTTCTTTCTTTTTAATTTGCTAAGTAACATACCTAAAGTTTCCTCATCAGAATCTGTATTTTCCTCGACAACGGTTTTTGTTTCTTTTCGTTTTGATCCAATACTTTTTTCAGGTGGATGCTTGTTCAAACTTTGTTCTCGTTTACGTTTCAGTACGAATTTTTCTTTATTAAACCTTAGATTATTTTGAACCTGGGATTTTGATTTGCTATTTACATTATTCTGAATGTCCATTCGTGTGGTTGTAGTCTTAGAAGAAGATCTAAGGAATCTACTTGCAGGTTTATTTACTTTTCCTAAACTTCGTCTTGTAACAGGTCTTGTGTTGTTAGTTCCATTAGAACTTACAGACTCCTCGTCGGTATCTATTTCACAGTATTTCTGAACTCGTATTAGCCTTTTACTTTTGAAGGGAACTTTACTAGTTTTATTTTTCTCCGATCGTTTATTGGATGTACCTTGGCTGGAACTAATCTTGCTATCTTTAGTTTTACCAACTGATTTTATAACTGGCTGTTTCACTTTGGCTTTGATTTCACTTTCTGTTTGAGCAATTTTGCGTGCATTTGGCAATTCTGGAAAGCTGTCCATGGAAATATTATCGTCATTTTCTAAGTCAGGACTAACAAGCTTTCTTCCAAGGATCTCCATGTACACTGCAGCTGCTTCTTTAGTTTTTCTAGATGGTCTTCTACAAAGATTTTTTGGAGATACTGTTCCGCTATGGGATCGGGTTATTCTTCTCATTTCAGACTTGCTTCTAGTGCATATCTTTTTCTGAACAGCTTTTTGTGTTGTACGCTTTACTTGTTGTACAGTTTTTTCTGAAGGTTCCTCCTCTTCTTCCTCTTCGGATGTACATTCTGAATTAGATGTATTACTACTTTTCTGTTTTACAAGAACTTTTTTCTTTGGTTTTGGTGGCATGGGCTTTACTTTTGGAGAAGCTTTTTTCGTTTTATCTGAGAGAACACTGCTCCGTAAACCTAGTCGCTTGGTTTCAATCCTTGGCAGAAACTTCCTAGGTGCTAATTTATTTGCAGATTTTAAAAGTGTTCTTTCTGTACAAGATCTTGTCCTCATAACGCACGATGTTTTAAACTTATTCTTTATTCTTTGTTTCGCTAGACGCTGTTCTTGATATTTTTTCTTAAGTGCTTGTACAGTAGATGTAGTTTTAAACTTACTGATATTCTTTTGTATTGTGTTTGTAACTTTCTTTTTGTCTGTAATCATAGATTTGATTTTAGTAATAGGTTTCTGATTTGAATCTGACTTTTGATTGTCAGTAGATGTACTAGTTGAAGATGTGACTTTATTTGATGGTGTACGTGTTGTCTTAACATGTGGCTTCTCTTTCTTGTTTCCAACATTGAAGAAATTTAAACTTGGAGGTAAAATTGATGTTCCTAATGAAAAAAAGTTTTCAAATAATTATTAATGTAGATCTTAGTAATCATAAAACAGAATTTATATATAAAAGTAATAAACTTATAAACCTCTAAAGCATAAAAATGTTAAAAAATCCTCCGTATTTGGTCGCTTATGCGTAATTAATTCTGTTATAACTGCTGGTTTAGCTTTTTCTTTGTCCTTAATTGGAGTATGTGAAGGATTAAAAACTGTTGTTGCACCTTGTGCAAATTTTCTTTGTGCATGTACTTTGGTCCTACAATAAAGAATATACTAAATAAAATAGTGATAGTAAATTTGTGATTTATTTACTGTTTAATTAGGTAAAATGTATCAAACATTAAATAATTTCAAATGAAAGGTAAGGAAAAGTTTATTTATCATATAATGTTTGTAATTTCACAAAAATTACAATATGCATACTGAATTAAAAAGTTTTAATTTTGCATTTACCTCTTTGGAGACTCTGAGAGTGGCTCCATCAGATCCACCAGATCCCCTTCTTTTCTTTTTCTCTTATCATTTCGACTTAGCACCATTTTTCAGATTTAGTAAGAAGTATTTCTATTAATCGGTAACAAAGAACTGTCACAGATACGTTGATCATTACATATATATGAAAAATTAAATTTTTTTACCTGATTTCATTCTTCATCATTACGAAAGAAAATATGAGTTAAACTTTTAAAATGGTACTACTCGAATTCGTTAGAGAAAACGAGACCTGTACCATGTTGAAAATGAAGGAAAATATTTGATATTATGAAAAAAATTTGATAAGAAAACTAACAATCGAAATGTTTCCGTTCTTCTACGGCCAATCAACGTTTTATAGTAAGTTTCATCGAAAGCAGGTAGACAAAGATTAACAATATACCACAATATACACTACCACCGAACATCTATTCTTCCTTCACACTGGATAAACGATTGTTTATTGTGTCATGTAAGATTAAATACCACGCTTTGATCTATGGTTTAGATAGACATAGATATGCGCTATAAAATAATATTGATTTCTCAAGCCTTGTCCACATTGCATACATGCAATGCACTGCGTTCATATAACACTGTTCACGATACATTAAGTAATCGACCAATTGAAAAAAATATATAGTATAATGCTGCAGTACAAGCTATAAAGCCGTTTATTCTGACATTGTTGGATAACGCTACAGAACAATTGATTGATTATTTATTTTATCTTAAAATTTAAATAAAAACCAGAGGCGTAAAAATTTCCAGTGATCAATATATATTTATTTTAGCTTTAAAGAAATGTTCATGAAACTCATACTACGCCATCTATATACACGCATAAGGATATGGGCCATCTTTCTCATGTTTACAGTGTTTACACTTCTAAACTACTTAGTGCTGCTTAGTGCCTTACAGTGCCTTATCAAACTACTGAAACTATACACACGTATATAGAATTCATATTTAGATTTTACCAGATTTTACCAATACATCGTATAAATAATTAACCAGTGACCAACTTATTGTTACTTTGTTAAGGTAGGCGAAGTCATGGCACAGTGCGAGCTCGTATAATCATTAATAAAGGATCATCGAATGATGTTACATTTTTCTTCCAATTGCCAAGGATGTCATTTGTGACATTAAATTTCGTCATCAGTTCATGCATATTTATGACAATCATTATTATTAATTTGAATGAATAATTGTATTTCCATTCTTGCAGTAAACTAATCTTGTAATAATATATCCACGATTTAATTAATTTATCATTTTTCGAGATAAAGTGTTTACATTATTAATCGCGCATTTAATCGATTGACAATGATTTTACATATTAGGTAGTTCATTGAAATACAAATAATAAGCGGCTTCTTAGATATTGTATAAAAGCACTTTGTATGTATTATAATGCAATCACATTAAAACTTGTATTCATCTGTACTTGAGTGTCCTAATAAATATGAATTAATAATATCACTGCTTTTGCTCATTCTTGTGTAGTTATGTAATTTAGTTTAATTATAGATACTGCTTATATAAATAAAACAAGGACATCATGTATAAAACTGGGCCACCACCACCTTATGAGCCACCACCTTATGCACCTCCTGGTTATTCGCAGACAACGGGTGGTGTTCCACCTGCTAGTCCTTTCACACCTGCAGAAACCTGTACGTTTATGCACGTTACCTAAATATGCATATACATTTTACATTATAAAATACAACTTAAACATTAAAATTTAACGCAGTAGTTAATTACCTAAAACAATTGCTTACTATATTCTTTAGATACAAATGGACCAACTATAGTTACAACGATAGTTCCACTTGGACCAGGATCAACACACACAATTTGTCCACATTGCCATGCAGAAATTGATACTTCAACCAAAACAGAACCTGGCATGATTGCTTACATATCAAGTGTTGTGATTGCATTAATGGGGTACATATAAGGATATTGAATCAAAGATTTAATATCTTACATTTTTCTCATGCTTTTCTATTTTAACAGAGGCTGGCTGGGATGCTGTTTGATCCCTTGCTGTATCGACGAATGCATGGATGTTCATCACAGTTGCCCCTACTGCAAAGCTTACCTGGGTCGTTACAGGAGATAAAGGAATGTAATGCTAGAGTTTCCTTTTTTTTGCATTTCACTTCAAAACAATTTTGGGATTGCATTATATTACGGTACCCACGTATTCTGTTACTGAGAATTTTTTTGTGTCTGCCTAATGTACAAACTGTCTCAATAGTTTTATTCACAACAAATGTTACATAATACCAAGTTTGATATGTAGCATATGCACAAACTATAATTATGTACAAGATAGTCTTTAAAATATTTTTGGCAACGGATCAAATTTTTACTAATAATGTGCAAGATGTACACAATATTTCCTTTATTTAACTTACACCTATAAACTAATAACAATCACTGTTGATAAGTACTTTCAAAAATTTATTTTTTAAAACTGTTAACAAATAATAAATTTACACTATTTGTATCTGTTTCTATGGAGTTTAATGTAGTGAATAGGAAGTATAACAATATATTAACTATTTTTTGAAAATGGTATGCATTATCATTTCTTCGTACAGCTAAAAAGAGTTGTACAATTTAAAAAAAAATAAGAACTTTGTATATCTTTGAAGATAAAATGTCAGTTGCTGATGTTAACGAATTTTGTAAATTATATGATTTTTATTATAGATATAATGAAATAGTCTATAAGTATAATGGTATTGTAAATTCATACTGTTTACATTGAATATTCTATACATATATGGACCCTTGAAAGTATAAATGGTGTACATCAATTTTTTATGAAATCATGTTGATAATTTGTTATTTAAAATGTTTTAGAAAATCTTTTCTAAACCTCACAATATGCATCTCAAAAATACATATATTTATTTAGGTATTGATTTACATCACGAATTAATGCTTTCAAGGGCTTATATATACTTCAAATGTTTTATTATAAAGCAACAATTAAATTTTACACAATAACAAAACAGGACAAGAAAATACTATCCTTAATTCATTTCCATTTGTCTTTAATGATTTATTTATTTTTCGCGGTTAATTAAACTTTATCTTTTAATTGTCTTTAAAATTACGGAAATATTGTTCCAAATTGTTCTAAATATCTATGTACTCGAAATGCATGACGTAGCTGTCAGTATCAAAAGTTTACTTTTAAAGAATTGAAATATATAGTACAGTTTCGATTAATCATATATTTTTCTATACAAATATTTCATAATATGTTTTAAATTAATAAGATTATAATATTAACATATTCCCAATAAATTGACGTTCTACTTAACCTTTATTGTCTGTAACCGTTACAGCCTAAGTGTTAATTTTTATATTTTCTGTATAGAATTGAATCGCGTGCATTTGAATTTTCAACAATACTTTATGTACATAAGTATAATATATAAGTTTATGTATGTGTATACATTACTAAGAAAAAATGAGTTGAGAACATATGTTTTGTCAAGGTATAAGTAAATATGTAATACTTAGATATTTTGATCTCGAAATATGAAGTTTCAATTCAACGAAGTCAATTATATCTCAAAATAAGTATGAAATAAGTTGTATAGAAAGAGTTTTTTGTATTTTGTAATAATCTAACCTTGATTAAAATGTAATTATGCATAAATATATAAAAGTTATTCACAAATTGCAATTTGTTCAGGTTTTAATTATGATTAATTAAACGTTTTAGATTCACATTAATCATAATGTGGCATAATTCGAAATCACTTTACAAGACATATGTAACAAAATGGAGCAACTATGTTTTTTATAATCGTCAAAGAGTAAGACACAATAGTTCAAAATCCACAATGGTAACAAATGAAGATGTTGACGATCCACTTCCTAAAGAAGCAAAGGTTGTTATATGTGGTGGTGGAGTTATGGGTGGTGCAGTTGCTTATCATCTTTCACTTATGGGACTAGGTGATCAAACTGTTATTATAGAAAGTGGCAGGTAAGTATCCTTTAAAACATAGGATATCGTTCTTTAAAGTACAAATACTACACATTTTGTAGAACTTTATATATTTGCTTGATTTTTGAAACATAGACTTGGAGGTGGAACAACATGGCATACTTCAGGATTAGTTGGAGCATTTAAGCCAAGTTTGGCACAGGTGAAGCTTGCACAGGATAGTATAGCATTGTATAAGGAATTGGAAGAGAAAGGTTTACCAACAGGCTGGAAACAATGTGGTAGTCTTTCCTTGGCACGTACAAGGGATCGTATGACTGTCTTCAGGCGTATGAAAGCACAGTCTATGTAAAGAATTACATCCAAATGAAATATATTAGGTATACCACTAAGTAATCCACTATACTTTGTCTAATATAATCTCGATTTGTCTAATATGTGTATAATACTTATTTTCAAGAGAAGAAAAAGTCTCTGTTGCTTCAGTTGTATTTTAAACTTAAGTTGTGTTACTAGTTTATTAAAACGAAATAGTAGATTACTTATTGATACACCTAATAGTTATAAATGTATAGGTAACTGGTAAGTATAAATATTGAAAAGAATATATGAATTGATTTTCAGATCACGTAACATTGAATGCCATTTGGTCACACCGAAGCAAGTACAGGAGATATGCCCCCTATTACGAGTGGATGATTTAATTGGTGGATTATGGATTCCACATGATGGTGTAGGAGATCCATATCAGATTTGCTTAACATTAATAGGAGAGGCAAAAAAGAAAGGTACACTTTATTTTTTGTAAAAGTGGACATGCATATATTTCATTTGAAGATACATTTAATCAGCAAAATTTTATAGGTGTTAAAGTATTTGAGGATTGTAAAGTCACCAAAGTAGTCACTCAAAATGGTAGAATTGAAGCTGTTGAAACAACGAGTGGTGTTATTGAATGCGAACATTTTGTTAATTGTGCTGGATTTTGGGCACGTAATGTTGGTAAATTAAGTGAACCGTATGTAAAGGTAAGCTTCGTCTATTAATACCGTTATTGATTATATACATAGTAGCTCAAATTTTTTTCTAATATTTAATACTCAGGTACCTCTTCATCCTGTGGAACACTATTATTTACACACAAAACCTATTGACGGTTTAAATCCTATGACTCCAGTGATAAGAGATTTAGATGGTTATATTTATTTTCGGGAAAATAATGGAAGGCTGTTGGCTGGTGGTTTTGAACCAGTTGCAAAGCCAGCATTCGAAGATGGAACAATACCTGGTTGGATATGGATTTTTATATTTTATTTATTCAATGTAGATGTGAATCTAAAAGTAGTTATATTTCAGGAAGCACGAGGGAAAGATTTTTACCAGAAGATTGGGACCATTTTCATATTTTACTTGAACAAATGTTATATAGAATTCCAGATTTAGGGAATGCAATTTTGGAAAGATTGTGTAATGGTCCTGAAGCATTTTCTCCGGACTGTAAGTGGATAGTGGGCGAAGCACCAGAAATACGTAATTATTATATTGCTGCTGGTATGAAAACTGTAAGTAGTCCTAAGCTAATTTTAACTAATAACGAACTATTAGTTTATATGTGTGACATTATAATTTTTATAGGTGGGTATATCAGCAGCTAGTGGAGTTGGACGAGCTACAGCAGAGTTAATAGTCAATGGTTCGACGTCTCTAGATATGTATGAATTAGATGTATCGCGATTTTTAGGTCTTCATAACAATCGCAAATTTTTACGCGATCGGGTAAAAGAAGTTCCTGGTATGCATTATGCATTACAATATCCGCATCATGAATTTAAAACAGGTAGAAATCTAAGAATGTCACCCATTTATCCAAAATTGAAAGAAGCCGGAGCGATTTTCGGCCAGGTAATGGGATATGAACGGCCAACCTGGTTTCAGTTAGATGATGAAAAGGGTAGGTCTCTATTATGTGCACATGAGATTGAAAAAATTTGTAGTTTACAGTTTGAAATGATTACATGTACAGTAGACTGCCGATTAATCGGCCACTTTTTTGTTGCCAGGAAAACAATTGACTAGAAGAAAAATTATTGACATATTCCGTGATTATTCACTTTCTTCCGACTAAATTTACTTTTTGTCATATTTATCATTGTTTAAATAGTCTTTCTCTTAGTAATTTTACTTTCTATTCATACTAAATTTTTGAGTAGTAGACACAGTGATTCCTCAATGAATGTGACACGAGCAACGGTATTATTCCCACCGCTGGGGGAGTCCCCCTGTGGAATCAAACAAAACAGAGTATACAGAACCTAAGCAGAGGTTCGACGTTGGGCAAAAAACAAATTAACGAGGGCCTGAAAACCTTTTCGCCTTGCCAGGAATGCTTTGAAATGGGCCCGAGTACGTCGCACTCATCGAGACATTACTGTAGTTGTTTAAGTAGTGACATATGTTGGTGGATTAACCGGCCCAATATCGTTTACCCGGCTAGAGGTCCACTCCCACAGGGGCTGGTTAAGCGGGAGTCTACTGGAATATAAAATTGTTCATTGAAATAATCCTATTATAAAGAGAAAACTGGACTTCATTATACAGATTGCTTTGCTATACAGATTTGGAAGCAATTGATGGATTTCAAAGGTATAAGATAGCATATACAAACACATTTAGTAAGCCACCATGGTTTGAAGCAGTGTCTAGTGAATATGCTGCATGCCGTGAAACAGTTGGGCTTAGCGATTATTCTTCCTTCACTAAAATTGATTTATGGGTAAGATAATTTTTATACACATCGTTTAAATGTATATGGTTACGATAAAAAATATTATAATTTATGCAATTTATTAGTCGAATAATCTGGAAGTGGTAGAGCTATTGCAATACTTGTGTTCAAACGATGTGGATGTACCCGTTGGAAGTATTATTCATACCGGTATGCAAAATCATCGTGGAGGCTATGAAAATGATTGCAGTTTAGCACGTATAGCTTTAAATCAGTAAGTCTTAAACTTAAAGTGCTCAAAGCATGAAATGTAATGTGTTGTTATGTGTGTTTTTTAATATTCAAGCTACATGATGATCGCTCCCACTATCCAACAAACTCGCTGTAAACATTGGATTAATCGTCATTTACCTGCAGATGGTTCAGTTGCAGTGTCTGATGTAACGTCTGCATACACAGCGATTTGTATAATGGGTCCTGCAACTAGACAGTTACTTTCAGAATTGATGCATTGTACACTTATTTATTTGAAAGGAATTAGACGTTGGTCTTGCTAATGGAATACGCACAATGAATCTGACTCATACTGGAGAGCTAGGCTATGTTTTATATATCCCAAATGAAGTATGTATTCTTATCTTTAAGCAACAAGAAATGTTAAATGTTCCTGACATTTTATACATAATAGTGACACGTTTGTGTTGTGTTTTGTAGTTTGCACTACATGTTTATACACGATTAGTAGACGCTGGAGCTAAGTACGGATTAAAACATGCCGGTTATTATGCAACACGAGCATTACGAGTAGAAAAATTCTACGCATTTTGGGGCCAAGATTTGGATACATTTACAACACCTCTAGAGTGTGGAAGAACCTGGAGAGTAAAACTTGATGTGAGTATTCTCGAACTTATAAGATGTGTGCATGTATTATTATTGTGTAAAGTGATATTGATTAAATTAAAAAGTTGTACATCCAATAGAAAGGGGTAAATTTTATTGGGAGAGATGCGCTTTTGAAACAAAGAGAAGAAGGTGTAAAGCGCAAGTATGTACAGTTATTATTAAACGATCATGATCCTGAATTTGATACGTGGTGTTGGGGTAGTGAACCTATCTTTAGAAACGGAAAATACTGCGGAATGACAACTACTACGGGTTACGGATTTACATTTAGGAAACAGGTATCAATGCAACGTTCTTAATTACCATAACAACGTAATTATTTTGAACTATTCGGAAAAGTACATAAAAGTTGCAAGAAATAATTAATACTCCTTATTGTAGGTTTGTCTTGGATTTATACAAAACTTCGATTTGCAATGGCGACCCCAAGAAGTAACAAACGAATACGTATTATCAGGAGATTATGAAGTAGATGTGGCAGGTATAAAGTTCCCAGCAAAATGTCACTTACATAGTCCAAATTTGCCAACCAAGTTCCCTGATAAAGAGAGAGACTCTTATCATGCAACTCGTGATCAACAAGTTGTATAATTTCGATAATACAAACTTTCAATTTTGTACAAATAATGTATATAGAAATTTTTTTTAATAAATCATTTAATAAGTGACGATTATAAATCATCCACTTAATACTTAAAGCAATGAATTATGTAAACCACATTTAAATTATATAAGCTTTTATCTTTTTCCATAGCTACAATTCTTAAAAAATTACATCAATGTATACTAGTAATTATGTACTATATTACAGATTTCCAAATGCACCATACATTCTGCAAGTACTCCCTAAATTACTTACATAGCACAATGTATTAATCTTGGTACTGACTCCATATACCACTAGTCATAGTACACTTATACTCGGTTTTAACCTACAAAAATTCACTATTACTTCTTGAACACCCTTGTTATTCTTGACTTACTCTCTCCATCATCATTATGATACGCATTATACTGACATTTGTGCTATAATATTACAATGTCATGGTAACACACTGTTTCAAGTACATTGTTCGAAAGACACGTTTTGTGAGGTTGAATGTTCGTTGCTTTTTCGATCGATGCAACAATATTTTTTATTAAAATATTAACATAATAGTAGTCTCACTTATTCTAATTCAATCGATACACTTAACATACGATTATTCAGTATCTATCCACCAAAAATTAAGCCCAAAGTATAGTACATCTATTCGTACATTAACAACTTTTTACACGCGATTCTTATTATTTACGTTCCTTCATTTTACTGTACACAAATCGACAATGAAAAATAAAGCGTCCTATGATTTCGGGATCTCCGGTTCCGGAGTGGGCTGCAGTTGTTGAACCATACATGATTTAGCAACCGAGTCGAATAATCTGAAACAACAAAATCGTAAAAGTCAGGAAACATGGTAGAGATTAGATTGTTAAAGATTACCATTGTGTCTCAAGCGCGATTACTTACTTCTCCATTTCCGGTGCACAGTGAACAAACTCGTGCGTCCAGAACTTATATGTTGGATTCTTAATAAGTTCAATGAAGGTGATAAGTAGACCCCACGGATGAGGTCTGTTCACAATAAGTCTTTCGAGAAGAACTCTTGTGATTTGTTCTTGTATCGCTTCTGTGTTAGCTTCAGCGAACAAGTACAGAAGCGTGCAACTGAAATAATGCGTATGACTGTTGGGATAACGAAGTTGATTGGCGATCGCGTTTAAGAACAGATAACGTCCTTCCGTATCGAGATCGACTGCCAAGTTTTGGAATATATCCATGTGTGCAGAATGTGCGATAGTAGACATATTCGGTGTATGCCCTTTACTACGAATGAACGCTATAGCTTGCGTACCAACATAAAGTACCAGGGCGTTCATTAATTGACTATTATAACGAACACCAGCTTCTTGGGATACTTGTAAATTGCTGCGCAGCTCTGAAAGGAAGGTCACAGGAGCACGTGCCTTTAGATACGAGTCAAGCTCCTTTTTGAAACTGAGTGGCTGTATCATGGACGCAAAGTTGGTTAACACTCGTGGGGCGTGTGCTATCTCTGGCAGCATGTCCACCTTCAGGTTTGGCGTGAACGGATCAGGTAAGCGCATGTTTCTCGGGAACGCGCTCAGAATAAGATTCCTCATTTGTATACAATTGGGAGGAATCACATCGCAAAATCCGTAATGATAGTCGCAAAGGAACTCGGGGAAATCGTGTAACAACACCAATATTACACGAAGAGTCCCGTTGTACAATAGAGTAACAGGTTTTGCGAGTTCGGCGTTTCGAAGGAACGGTGCTAAGTATTTGAATAAGTCGATCAGAAGCTGCGCGTACATTCCCCAACATTTCTGCTGCGGCGTGATCGCGAGCATGCGTCCAATGAAGACTCTGTGGGAAACTAGCTCCAACCAAGCGTAACAGAATCCTGAAGCTTTTCCCGGTCTGAGTATATGCAATGTATGACAGAAAGCAGTCAATACTTGATAATTCACTGCTTCCAATACAGGCTCGGGGGCACAAAGTTCTAAGAAGAGCATTATGAAAATTCTGTGATAGGGCAGCTGCTGGAAATCAGTTCCGCGTATTTCATGGTCCTGTAGTAATACACCAGCAACAATTCCCAAAACCTTATTTAGGAGATTGATCTTCGTATGAGTATTTGTACTGTCACCAGAATGCTTTACTAGAAGCGCGACCAAACGGACGAAAGCATCCAACGATTGGAAACACTTTACACGAACCATGGATGGAGATGTGTTTGTCTCGGCTAATGCGCGATAACATAAGTCAACGCACATCTGCGTGCTCAGTTTGAAGAATCTTGTGATCAGGTCGTCGGTTTTCAGAATCCCATGAATGTTCATTTGATGGACGAACATTCCGAAAGCTTTCGTGGGATCACGCGCATGGGACGGGTTATGATGCATTGAAACCCATTCACGCAGAAGATATTCTGTTTTCTCCATCAGTCCGGGCGGATCATCGAAGTCGCGCGCCTGCAAAGAAAAGAAAAAACAAGCAACATAAATCATAGATACATACGTCTGCTGTTCACCAAATTTCAATAGCGGCAGAATTTACTTACTCTCACCTGCAGAATTCCAGAATGTATATGCGCTGTAGGTCCAGCAGGTGCTCTGTCCGCCAATACACCTGGATCATGATTCGCGCGCAACGATTCTATTAGACTAGTCAATCTGAACAATAAAATCCTGTAAGAATAGTTCATTATTTTTAATTAACTGTCAATTATATCTCATAGTAAATCGACAATGCTATAAATGTTCGATAATAACCCTTCAGGTGGTGCTCTATGATGAGCCATTCGTGCAAGTATCTCAATTGTATGGAATAAGTCGGATTCGGTAACATGAGTAGTTTGTCTTTCATCAATTAAATAAAGTTGCACCAGCTGCATTGCGAAAGCTGTTGCCATGGCATTTCCAGACTCTATAGCTTGAGCCAAAGCTAAGTCATACTGTGGAAGACTAATTAGATGAGATCTGAAAATAATATAATTTTATTTGTATCTGAAAATTAACAAAAAAAAATTGTAATTCAAAATTGTTTGGTAAAAAACAATTATACCTTATGAGATAATCGACAGCCTCGAAATTGTATCGAAACTCTTCCCTGCATTCAGTTAAGCAACGAGTAACATGTTTGTTCGTCCACTGCATGCCGTAAGCACGTGGATCTTGAAGACACTTCAGAATACGTAAATGAAGTTCCCTATATCGCAATATAAATTCAGAATCTATCACACCGCTTGAGATTGTAGGACCATCTAATAATCCTTCCACAGCCTGTAAGTAAAGGTGCTCAGATCATAAATGCAGCGTGTTCTAGTTATTTTATTTTATCATCGAGGAATCAATTTTTACCAGAAGGATGACAACAAGTTACACAAAATGAAAGGAACTATTTCGAGTAACAGTTCAATATTAATAAAAATTCTCAACGAATAAATTTCCACTACTTCTGCATACACCCAATATAATAACTTACCTTCTTGAGTAACGTCATAGCAGCCCCTGCATCTCTTGACCTTCGTGTCAAGATAATTGATTCTAATAGACTATGAAGAGCAGCATGTTGTGGAGGAGGTGCAGCCGGACCCATTGCAGCAAGTAATACCTCAACGTCAGCTGCAAGTTTCTCCAACATTGCTCCAACTTCATCATTGCTTACTGCTGCTGCGTATGCAACAACCTGTTGGGCTGTTGCTACCGCGACCGCAGGATTAGCAGCAAATGCAGTTACAGCTGGCTCCTTTAAATTAAATGTTCCGCATAAAAATTAATATTCGTGTAAAAATGAAGAATAAGTATTATACGATACTTACTGTAACAGGTTTTGGCATTAACAGAGCTTGCGTGTCGCGTTCGGAGAGTGGCAAAAATCCTGGAATATTTCTTGCAAATTCTTCGTACACAGCCATTTGTTGAGGAGTAACTCCTCCTACTTTTAATCTGATTTGCTCAGGCATTCTCTCGGCGTGGTACTTAGCTAAAGGATCACAATATCGCCTTCCTTCCTGGCGCGCAATCTTCCGTAATTCAATTTCATTCAGTAGACGCTTATCCATTTCTGGAATAGCCTTTTCAATGGCCGTCTTTTGTACATATGCACAAGCAAGTTCCATGTTTTCAGCAGCTAACACGTTAGCTGCCTGTTCTACAAGTTCTTTTTGTTGCGGAGTCGTGCCCATTAATGCAGCGAGGAAAGCTTGCTTCAAGTTTGTATTAATTGACGCTAAAACCTAGGAAGAAAAAGAAATGTATGTAATAATGCCAATGCACAAAATGTGAATTAAGAAAATGTTCATCGAGCATGAATGTATTCAAAATGTTTACCTGATCACGGCAAGTAATCATAGCCATTCCAGCAGTTAAATTACGAACCATATGCCTAGCTGCTGTTCTCATTCGAACTTCGTCCGGATCTAATGCAAAATCTTTTCTTACTATTTGTTCAGTGGTAGTTAGGGCTATTTTAATTGAGCGATCGATAACAGGTTGAATCCATTCTTGAAGTGCTCTTTCAACAGCTGGACGAACAAACTGTTTTAAATGCGGATGTGTTTGAAACAACGGTAGCTGAAAAATAAATTAACCGATTAGAATAGGAAACAGTTAATATTGAATGGGAATTAATTTAGAAAAAAAAAAGAAGAGATCGTCACCTGATTATTAACGGTAATATGTTCAGCAATGTTAGCAATGCCCGTTGCAGATATATCCATGTAATTAAAACGTGGTTCTGGTGGACCAGTAGGTAAAGATGGTGTTGTATTTGCTGGAGGTGGTTGCGGAACAATTGTTCCAGTTGTAGTGGGACCAACTAATTCTTCGATTGGGCCTTGAGTTTGCTGTTGATTGTTGTTTGCTTCAGACTTCTTATTGGGATGGGATAGTTGAGATTCCAAATTTCGTAACTTTTCCGGATCTTTCAAGTAAACCGCAGGTTTCAATTCCTGTAGATAAAAAAATACCAGTTAATATTATTATTTGTAAGCACAATACAAAAAAAATGTGTATAGCATGTAAGTGAACTTACGGCAACGTCAATATTTAAATTTTTGCAAAGCACTTCGATCTCAAATT